GATAAATAAACTTGAAGATAACTCTGAACCTAATAGATCCAAGCAAAAGACATTTATATTTGCTAAACCTCAAGATATCAATGCTCTTAAAACATCTGTGCAAAATCAATCCATGATAAATAAACTTGAAGATAACTATGAACCTAATAGATCCAAACAAAAGACATTTATATTTGCTAAACCTCAAGATATCAATCCTCTTAAAACACCTGTGCAAAAGCAATCCATTATAAATAAACCAAGAGATAGTTTTAAAACTAATACATCTGAGGTAAAGGCATTTGTATTTGCTAAAAATTTAGGTATTCTTCCTTATAAAATACCTGTGCAAAACAAGTCTGTATTAAATAAAATTGAAACTAGTACTAAACCTAGTACACCCAAACAAAAGACATTTATATTTGCAAAACCTCAAGATATCAATCCTTTAAAAATACCTGTGCAAAATCAACAGTCTATAATAAATAAACCTGGAGATAACTCTAAGACATCCGAACAAAATACATTAGTATTTTCTTTACCCCAAGATGTCAATGCTTTTAAAATGCCTGTACAAAATCAATCTTTAATAAATGAAGTCAAAGATAACAATAAACCAGTGCAAAAGAAATTTGTTTTTGCAAAATTTCTAGATAATAGTACATTTAAAGTACCAGTGCAAAATAAAACTTCAGTGAAATTAGTAGAAAATACCTTTAAACCTAAACTTCCTGAGCTACCACAATTTGTTTCAACGAGAGAAGAAACTACTGAAATACCAGTGCGATACAAATCGGTAAGTAATACAACTACCCTAAACTCTGCTGGTAGAACACATTATCAAGAATTGCTAATAAATAAGAAGATTGAACCTGCTTCACCTGTGATTTTAAATTCATCTAAAAATGAAAAATCTTTTATTATTAAAAAACCGTCGTTTTTTAATTTAGAAAACATTTCCATTCCAAAACCAAACACTTCTAACATAACATTAAGCTCTTCAGCAATAACTAATAAATTTAAGAACATCACATCCATCGCCAAAATACCTACAGACGCTTTTATTAAGTCATCAAATTCAACATCTACAGTCAATATTAATGATGTTAATTATAAACAACAATTTTCAAACTTAACTCAAGAATTAAAAGTTGCGCCTTCAACTATAACAAAATCAAAAATATATATTCCACACAATGGTAAAAACTATATGATAAGATCTGGTAAAATAGTAAAATCAGATATTCAGCCTCCAAAATTAAATCCTTTATCGTTTAAAACAAAACCAACAATTTTAATACCGGAATCAGTTGTACAAACAAAAAACCAAGGAAATATAATTGTTTCGCCCTCAGAAAATTCAAAAACTTTTAATACTCCTAATATTACCAAATTTGTAGCCAAAATGGAAAAACTTCCAAATGGAAAATATCAAATGTTACCAACTCAAGGAAATATACCTGCCGGCTTAGAAAACTTGTTTAAATCAAATTCTCAGTTTGTTAAACATAGTACAGTTACAGATAGACCTCACAGTCCAAATGGAGATTATTTTGTTTCTGTTGAAAATAATCCCTCATCCTCAGAAGGTATTAAACAGCTTCAGAATTCTAAAGAGACTGATCAATTTAAAAAACCATTGCAAGTATTATTTCCAAAATCTCAGGAGACTAAAATTTTAAAGAAAACTACAACTAACAAAATTTTACCCTTTACCTTTACCAAAAAATACCAAGTAATAGATAATAAATCAATTATTGGTGGAAATCATGGAAAAACTGTTAGTTTTCAAGGAAAATCTAATACTAATCTAAGAAAAAATTTTGTTAATCAAAGAAAAACTTATGCTAATCAAGGAAAAGTTCGTAATCCAAAAATGTGTGCTCCATCTGAATTTATTAAACTTAAACCGAATCCTGAATCTTTAAATCAATTGAAAATACAACAAATGAATTCTGCTAATAGTGGTTAGTATAAAATATTATTATTTTAAGATATATCCTGTTTTAAACTTTTTTATTTCAAAATTAAAAAATAAATTGTTTAGTGGTTAATATTTTTAAAATAACGACAAAGTATTAATAAATATAAAAATTATTAAAAGAACCTGTTTACATGCTCGACAATGACTTAATCAAAACGGGTTTTAAATATTTGCACTTACATTAATACTTTTTAGCAAGAAATTTTAAATTGATATCTTATTTTTTTATTTTCATTGAAATTTTTGTATATTAAATAATATTTTATTTATTTTAATACTAGTAAAACAACAAATAATAATCTTGAAAATCTTCTATTTTACCTTTAGACTTGCAGGATAAACCAACTGTAAAATTAAGTTTAAACGAGCAAGGAAATCCTCAGTTATTAATAAAGGTTTTAAAAACAACCAATGAACTTCCATTAGTTACTACTGTTGCGGCTACAAAAGAAACATTACCGGTTTCAGATGAAGTATCAAATTATCCTGAAGTATGGTTTTATCTAAGTTGGTGTTTTAAATATACTTAAACTTTTTTATAAAATTAACCATTTTTCAGATTTCAAATGTCTGTAGCATCTCATTAAAAAAGTTTTCAGAAAAAAATAAAGTATCTTTGCCTAAAAAACCTAGAAAATCAATACTTAAGAAAAGTTCTGGTTTTAGTAAGAATATTCTTTGTTATAGTAAATCATTTTTATTAATTTATGTTTAAAATTTAGGTGAACATAACATGGGTCGACCTCCTACTTGCGAATATGAATATTGTGATACTTTAACTGAGGGGCTAAAATTGATTGATAATATGTATTGTAGTTTAACATGTAAAAAGTTTAATACAAAACTTATGTTAGCTACACAAAAAAAACCTGTAGTTAGATTCAATTTAGAAGAGAATGATCAAAAGAAGCCTGTGATTGATCGAAAAATGCTCTTATTGAAATTGAGAAATAGAATAAATAAAAGGAAACAGTTAAAACAATCTTGTCAGCCTGAAAAATCACCACGAATTGATTTTATTGAACATGAAAAAAAATCCATTATTATAAAAGCAATTTGTGAAAAACCCTTTTGTAAATCAGTTCGTAAATCTTTTCGTAAATCAAAAAATGGTTCAAAGTCAGATGATGATGAAATTTTACATTTTAGAGTATATAACTTTTACTTCTAATTTTTAAATTTATAAACTTGAACTTAATTAAATAATCAATTAGTTTACAATTTTGGTTTCTTTTCTAGCCTCAAATTGACTATAACAGAATAAACAACTATATACAATGTTTGCAATTCACAACTGCTCCTTTAAAACTATTTAATAAGCCTTTTCCAACTGAACCAAATTTGTTCAGAGTAGGACACAAATTAGAAGGTATTGACCCTGGACATGAAACATTGTTTTGTGTAATGACTGTCATAGAAGTTATTGGTAATTATTTTTCATGTTAACTCATTTTTATTAAATAAAGTTTTGACTTGTATTTTAATTTTATTAGGTTATCGCATTAAATTGCATTTTGATGGTTACTCTAATGTTTATGATTTTTGGGTAAATGCTGATTACCCAGATATATTTTATCCAAAATGGTGTGAACAAAATTCACGTATTTTACAACCACCAAAAAATTATAAAAATAAATTTAATTGGACTGACTACTTTAGACAAAAGCTTGCTTTTCCAGCTCCAAAATGGAATTTTAGTTCTACTAAACATCTTGCTGTAAGTTGTATACTATTTCTATTATATTTTTAATACAAATTTATTCAATCATATTGCTAAATTATAAGGATTATGTTTGTTCTTATAATATTTTAATAATATCAGTGATTTGATATTTTGTATTTCAGACATGTCCTACGCATAAATTTGAAATTGGATATAAATTAGAGGCATTGGACAAATCGACTCGTACATCATCAAAACCAGTTATATGTGTTGCAACTGTTGCTGATGTTTTGGGTGATCGTATATGTATTCATTTTGATGGCTGGTCTATAGATTTTGATTATTGGGTTGATGTCACATCAAGTAATTTACATCCAGTTGGATGGTGTAGTAAAAACGGTCGAACTTTAGCTCGACCTAAGTGTTATAATGGTATTTTAACTATTTATATCCTTAACGCTTTTTTTTTTTTTACCATTCAATTAATAAACACTTAATTTATAAAACTGTTTTGCAGATTATCGAGGTAGAAAACCTTTTTCTTGGTCTTCCTACTTAAAAGAAACTAATAGTAAACCAGTGCCAGAAGAAGCATTTATTCATGAACCACCACTGGAATTTACTGTTAACATGGCAATTGAAACTGTTGATATTGTGGTTCCATCATTATTGAGAATTGCTAAAGTGATTGATGTTAAAGGCAATGAAATAAAAATACTTTATAATGGGTTTAATCCAATGTATGAATATTGGGTTGCAAACGATAGTCCAGATATTCATCCTGTTGGATGGTCTTTAAAAACTAATCATCCTTTAGAAATACCTGCAGGTAAATATGATATTATTATAACATAGATAATTTACTTTTTTTGTTGAATTTTTTTAAAATGTAGTAATTAGAACTTCCTGATAACACGTATTTTAATAATATTCCCTGAATTATATAGTAAAGTATGTATAATTTTTTTATAAACCTTACAAAATGCATTACTTTATCACAATTTTTAAATAATTTGTGTAATATTTTTATTATTCTACTTGGTCAACCAAAAACTGTGATAAACGCTCCAACTAGTATAGTATAGTTAACTTAAATTCCAACTAGTATTCTAATTTTATTTATGTTCTATAATTTTATTTTAATCTCTTTATTTTGAATATGAATTTCATAAATTATTGATAACTCCAATTTTAATGTTAGTTAAGTTATCTATTAGTAGAAAAAAATAAAATATTTAAATAAATTTAAATACATTAAATAAAACACATATTTTTAGTGCATAAAGAAATAAACAAATGGTTTATATAGTATATATATATATATATATAAATGCTTACTCTGGAATATAATTATACTTGTAAATTACAACCAATTTTAAATTAAAAATTAATTCTCAGGTGTATATTAAGTCAGGAAAATCTCGACTTTATTTACACCTTAATTTACGAATATTAACCATTTGCTAATTTTTATTTTATTACATATTATTAATCACTTTTTAGTACATATTTGATAGGAGTTTAAAATTGATATACATTATTTTATTTATATTTTTAATATCTAATTATGTATAAATAAAGAAATAAATATGATATATAAGATATGATAATCACCTAACATAATGATTAAAATAATTAAAATATATTTTTAATTTATAAAATATTAGAATTTTTTAAGCCCCTAATAACTTAAATTGTTCAAGTTAAAAGTGTTATAATTTTTTAATTAATTTTGAAATAATTATTAGACAGTCAAAAGCGTCATTGTTGTGGAGTTTCTGGTTGTAATGGAAAAGGCAACATAAATTGTATGATAAGTAGTCATAATGATGTTAAAAGTTGTCCATATGTTATTGATAATTGGAGAAATACAGTTACTGGGTATTCATTAATACCGGATAGAGTGAAAACATTTGTAAACCCTACTATGAAGTAATTAAAATAACATTTAATTGATATTTAAAACAATTTTATGAGTTAAATATAAAGCAATTTATTCATTTTATTAGACCACTGCCCCAGACTGAAATTCCTAGAAAACTTTCTAAGAAACCTCATAATGAATTTTCAAAGGAACTTTTAAAAGAACCTCCTAAAAAAATTCCAAAGAAACTTGTTAAAGAACTTCCAAAGAACCTTCCTAAAAAGCTTCCTAAGAAGCTTCCTAAGAAGCTTCCTAAGGAACTTCCTAAGGAACTTCCTAAGGAACTTCCAAAAAAAACCAAACGAAAATCAAAGAAACAAGAAATGTTAAGGGAAAAAAAAGTAATAAGTAAAGCAAAATTAATAGCAATGAGAAAAGCTAAAAAAAAAATGTTCGAAGTTAAGAAAAAGAAATATTTAAGGTAATATACACAATGTTCACAAACACATTTATTTTTATTTAATATTTTATGTTTTTAATTATTTATAGTTATGTTGCGTCACGTACAATGTTTGGTGTTAAACATGTCAAATCAAAGGATCATTGGTCAAATTATAATGGCTCACGCATTGCAACAATTATGGATGAAATGGAATTGCGCATTGATGATCCATGGACATATTTGCACAATGATGATTTTATAACATCAAAAGCAAAGCGTAACAAATTAAATACTAGACGCAATGCTATTTCAGGCATACCAATGGTAAATTCAAGTGATGTAAAATCATGGTCTGTATCACAGATAGCCGAGTTGGTTGACCGTGTTGTGATGAGTAATTCTATATACCGAAGTGGAAAAGAACACATTTTTGCATCTCCAATTTTCATAGATAAAGTATAAACAAATATTTATCATAATTTTTTAAAATTATTTATAAGTAATATTCTTGTGTGCAGGGAATTGATGGTGAGAAATTCTTAAAATTAACAGAGGATGACCTTATAGACTTTTTTCATCTACCTCTTGGTATTGCACTTAAAATATCCAGTGCCATTACAATATTGAGAAATAGAGTTCCTCAACCAGCAATTTTTAATAATATTGATTCACTTGAACTTGAATAAAAAATTAATTATACCAATTATTATAACTTTTTGTTTTTATTTTTATTTATTTCATTTTATAAGTATTTATATATTTTTTAAGCTCAATAATGGTTAATGTTGTATTTTTAAGTTATTAAATTAGAAATATGTGTATTAAATATTTTAAATGGAGTTGTAGTTTAATAATTTCTCCAAATACCCATTCTTGAATGGATCATCAGTCTTGGTTACTTGTCTTTACTAATGATTGAATCTAAAAATATTGGATAATTACTAAGCTATGCTAAAATGTTGATAAAAAAATAAAAATTACGACAAGAATTGGCAACAATGGAAAAGGATAATGATCATTTTTGATATTTACTAATACTGTCAATATCTTTTATCTGATGGTCAGTAGTAAGTACATAGAATGTATTATAACTACATTACGAAATATGTTTAGTATTTTTGATTTTTGTAGAAAAATAAAAGGTCAAAATTCGTTAATACTGTTTATAGTGGAGGGCAAATGGGGCTAGTGCTCTAAATCAGTGTTTCTCAATCTTTTTTGTGTGACGATACCTTAATTTGTATCCATAAAAATGGCGACATATTTGAAAAAATTAATGAATTTTTGAAATTTAAACCTTTGTAAATTATTACATTTATATGTTGGAATTTTAAAAAAAATATTTTAATTTACTTTAGTTAAAATTTAAACAATTCAAAAAAAGTATTATAAAAAACAATGTTAGTGCATAAAGATCCGGGTCTAAATAGGTATGTCTTCGATTCGTGGGCGAATGATTGACAAACTTACACGTAATTTTTTCTTGATATCTTTTTTTGCTTTTTGTTATTTCCAATGTAAAAAATGCTGATTCACATATGTATGATGCTGAAAAAAAATAAAATTTTCAATTCTTGCTTGCTCATTCCGGTATATTCGTTTTACAGAGAAATCCGAAATGAATCATTTTGAGACACATAAAATTTAGATTTTAACGTTGTATTTGATTATATTTCCAATGAGAAAAGAATCAATAAGAATATCTTTATATTTTTTTTCATATGAATGATTTTTATTATTTTACTATAATGCCGTATTAATATCATATGTTTATACTTTGAAAACTTAGTTTGAATTAATAATATATTGGCGTCACGCACCATGGTAATACGTGACACACTAGTATGTCGCGACATAACAGTTGAGAAACACGGCTCTAAAGCGTCCAAAGTGTTATAAATTTAGGGGACATCATAAAAATTTATGATAATAAGAAAAATTAGGGGTTTTATTTTAGATAAGTTTTACCTAATTTTCCTTTTATCCAGAAATATCTAAGACGAGTACCTATCTATAAAATTGCATACTATTTAATATGAAATTGTATAAATAATGTAAAAAGGTGCTACATGTTTACAATAATATATAAATATTACTGAAAGATAGAATATTATTGATAAATTATTAATGATTACAAATGACTTTTTAGGGACTGTATAAGTAGTAAGTACCGTAACTAACAGTCTATAGACTTAATTTTATATTATGACTAAATTATATTATTTTCAGAGTGACAAGATCCTAATCGATGATTATTGTGAAATAGAAGTTCACACTACTTACGAGTATAACCGCTGTAGATTATTAGTTGACTGAAGACCGTTCAGTGTAGTTTAATAACGGGTAAAATGAATAGAAAACCTTGGAAAATAAAAGAATGAAAAAAAGTATATTGGGACGCAGAAAAGACTTGGTGTTGAATGTTTGTGCACATACAAAGGATATGTTACGCCAGTATTTAACATACAGTGGGCGTTCATAAGTACCTACTATCAATGTTAGATGAGCACAATCATGTTTTAAATACAATAGAGAAAATCGAACACCAAATTTTACGAGAAAATTGTAAATGCATAACAAGTGACTCAATTTTAATTAGGCCATCAAAAATAATCAGACCCGAGCAAATGGAAATAGATTTTGAAGTGCCACATTTAGATATAAAATCTCAATATAATCAAATATAATTCAGATATTAAGTCTAAAACAGTATAAATATATAATTATAAGTTTAGAATACGCAATCGTGTCATTTTACGGGTTTCCATTCTTTAACAGCAAATATATGCAATCTCACAAAGATAAATCGTATGCAATCGGGTTCTGCTCGTGAGAAAAGTACTAAACGTAAAAACAATACCTATTCAAATTGACAAATCGAATACACTCTGAGATTGTAATGATTATAGTAATACTTTTCACAAAATTCAATATCATCTGAAGTACAATTTTGATGCCTACAATAATTTATTATTGCTTATCGTCACGAAATTAAGCGAATTAAATGTTTTAAAATTATTATACGTTCTTTGGTACTTTCTCTGTTTGTATCCATAGTGATATGTAACGGTGTCAATCTGATACACTATCGCAGAGTAATAAATCAATGCAGCACAAAGCAAAAGCATAACTATTGTTAGTAGTTTTATTTATAGTGGTTTTATCGGATAATTACAACTAATCGGAATGTGAATGTTCAGTATTGTTCACCAATTATTGGGTTATAAATGTTTAATGTTAATTTGAGTATTTTAAGTTCATTAATTGTACCATAACACGTTTACTCCTTTTATAAATGAATATCTATTTCGGAGATACCAGAGCAATGATTCTTCCTAGTTTGAATAGTTTTATCGAAAGCATAAAATATTTGTCCGAAGTAAGTTACAATAATTTTATTGTCACCGAGTTAATACGTTAAATCGCGCAATTTTAGAAAATTCATAACGCATTGAATGATAACAAAAAAAAAAATTCGAAAATGTCAAAAATAGGTAGGTACCTAGTAATTTTATAAGCAATTTTTTTTAAGTCTATAAGCATGGCTTGAAAATTATTTGTTTTGTTTTTTCCATATTGCATTTCGCATTTTGCTGATAAATCATAGTATATGAATTTAAGTGAGCTATATATTTGATTTAACTGTGTATGATTATTATGTATGTTTGATCGAATAATGCTAAGTATAAAATGCATACTCTCTAATCAGACGCGGATACAACGGTGGCATGGTAGCGATGCCCCCCCCCCCAAATGTTTCGAAACAAAAAAAAAAGTTATAAAGGTGCGTTTAGACGGCGCGAGTTTGACTCGCGCATCAATCCTCGTGACGTGTAGACGGCTGTAGAACGCGAATCACGACTCGCGAGACGAATGCGCGGCGAGCCGTCAGTTAGTCGGTCTCGAGGTGCGCGTCAAAGGCGATTCGTACTTTTGTTTCGCGCCGTGTAAACGTTTTAATTATTTGTCTGTGTGCATCATCAAAATGGATCAAATTAAATGTATTCAATTAATTGAAAAATATAAAAAAATCCTATTTTGTGGAATTCGCGAGAAAAGGCGTATCACAATAAAAACAAGCGAGAGGATGCCTGGCGAGAAATTGGAGCATGTTTACAACTCCCAGTTTCAGTATTAAAGGCGAAGATGTCATGCGCGTGAAATTCATGATGAGGTCATCAACTAATTCGACTTGCATATCCCTCATTAGCCTGTTCCCGTATTGGAATCGCTGGCGAAATATTTCTTTCATCCACCAACGGCGTTGACGTTTTTGCCAACTTGCAATTCTTTTTTTTTAAATATGGGCTACAATAAAGGCAAATGCTGCAGCCGCACGAGGTGGTATCATAGGACTCACAGTAGGAACATTTGCCATGGCTGCCTCGTGGATACTGACGTCTCACCCTTTATCTAGGTGAGTCACGACTCACCATGAATCAGATTCGCGGGACTCGCTCACGGTAGTGATGCGCGAGTATGACTCACGAGTCATACTCGCGAATCAAACTCGCGCCGTCTAAACGCACCTTAATATTATATGTCAACAGTGCTCGACTTGGCCAAGGCCAAATTAAAGAAGGGGGACTCTATTTACTTTTTAAAAAAAGAGCGTCCCCAAAAATTGTTAAACATTATAATTATAACGTAATAATAGTAGGGAGACGCTAAAATTGTTGAAAATTAGTTGAGGTACTCCGCCCCGCTTCAAGTCGAGCACTGTATGTCAAACAAAGATAAAAATTATATTTTTTCAAAAGCAACTATATAAATAGTTATTATTAGGGAAAGGATTTCTATGTAAATACATATTTTTATTAAAAAGAGATATTTAAGATTCGATAAGAAATGTTCATGATTTAAATCATTTCTATCAATATAATGCTACTTTTATTTTACATATTTTTACATATTTTGATATAATTACATATTTTTACATATTTCATAATTTCATCATTCATACGTCTTCTTCGTACAAAAGTACAAGAAATTATTTCAAATTTGGATCCAGTAACTTCTATCGCTATTAGAAAAGCTCAAAATATTATGCAAAATGAAACATAAAAACTAATTTAATTTTCATCTCGGTGAATTTTAGTTTTATTGCACATACATTTACAAAATTAGAAATAAAAATATGTCCTTAAATGAAAATATGTAAATTGTCGAATCAAGGATAACAAAATGAAAACTTGTAAACGGACCAATAGGAAATGTTGTAAAAAAGAAAACTCATGTTGTTACAGAAAAAAATTCCAAGTTATATTGATTTTCAATCAATCAATGACATAATGAGTGGCAGATAACCTTCTAAAAATTTGAAATTATCACCTTCTGATATTATGCGCTTCAAATATGCTTTAATCAACCCATGTAGGTTGATGTGGAACGATCATTTAGCCGTTTTAAAAATATTTTCAGATCCAATAGGCGACATTTAATATTTGATAATTTAAAAGATATTGTAATAATTCAATGCAACAAATCATTTTGACAATTTAATTATTATAATTTTTTTTTTTTTTTTAATTCAATTTTTTCCTACATATTTGGATGTTTTTAGCACATATTTTATAAATTATACTTACATAGATATGTATATATTTCTGTATTTTTATTACATATAAATCCGTTCCCTAGTTATTATTAATATTAACATGTTTTTTAAAACCAAAAGAAAATTAGATTTCGCTCTATAATTTTTAATTTAATTTCATATTTAATATGTTTTTTATTGTTCTTAAATAAAAAGTTTTTTTTCAATGTACTTACCTAATTTTTTTTTAAATTTTAGTCGAAGGATTATTCCTTTACAGTGTTAAAAAATATTTATGGTAAACGGTAAATACTTATAATATTATAGAATTATTGAATATTATATATTATATATTATATTATGTCCACAATATGAAATGTCCCCTTCCTCCAATAATTACTCTGAATCCGCGCCTGTCTCTAATGGGCATGTACCTTTTCTGCCAAAAATCCGGTTCCTTGATTTACGCACAGCCCTATGTCACCAGAAACGAAAAAAGTATGATTCCCGTTTCCGCCAAAATTTATTTTTGTGATAAGACGTTTGGGAACCATGTACAATTGTTATATGTTCTTTCATTATAAATTTTAATACACGTAGATAATAGTAATATGTTAGTCAAATATAGGTACAATTATATTAGAGTTTTTAAAGTATTACATAATTTCATATTATTATATGTCCATTCTATTTAATAATTTATAAAGTAAAAAATAAGGATAGATCAAATATTATCTCAATGGAGTTTTGAAAAAACACATATTGTCATAAATAAGTAAATAATTAAATAAATATATTTCTTTTACTCGTAGATAAAAAACGTACCTTTCGTTACAAGTATTATTTTTTCTTTTTCAAAAATATTGGCCGGACAATTTTTCATAAAATATCTCCACCGACAGGAGCGGATTTGCCTATAGGAAAATCGGGAATCTTCCCGATGGGCCGGTCCTTGTTTGGGCCGCTCTATATTATTATATAATTCCCAAAAAAAAGTTTTATTTTGTAAAATAAATATATATTTAAAGATGCATTAAGATTAAACTTCAATTTCAAGTTGGAATTGATTAATCACGTAACTTACCCAAAACTATTATAGCTATAATTATAGTAAAGTTATTGTAAATTTTACTAATTTAGGGGTGAAACTAAACAAATTTTGAAATTGATGCAAAATAAAGCATTTTTTTGGTAGGGGGGGGGGGGTAAAATAGTTTAATTTGCGGTTCATGGGCTGGTTCGTTTCATATTTCCTGGGCCGAAAATAATTGTCAATCTGCTCCTGTTCACCGAGTTACATTTGTATGTAACGTATAACCAAAAACATATTTAAACCATCAAAAATCAACATTGTTTTACCTCTTTTATTTACAACAAATTCCATTTTAAGAATGGTAAGTAAGTAAGAACGTTTAAGTGTTCTGGTGACAAAAAGAACAGATACTGAATGGAAATATAACAATTTAACATTTTGTCAAACAATTATTGTGTGCGAATTATAAATAAACTATAATACAGTATAATATAGTACATCAAATATTGTACCGTTATTATCGACGATTATAGTGTATATATCGTAGACATACTTGTATAGTCAAATCATACTGACTATAGGGTATACAATATACTTGTATTATCATCTAATTAGCTATTATCTGTATATATTTATAATTTCATTTTTAAAGCAATAGCAATAGTGAACATGAAATTAAACATATTATTTCATATACCAACGTGTTTTACATATTAATAAATAATACATTGCTTTTTTACGTATAAAATAACAATAAATAACTGATAGAAAATATATTTAAATTTTTAAAATAATACAAAATGTTTTTTTATTATTTGCTTGACATAAAATAGACATTTAATCATATTCCTAGTCATTTAATTAAATTACTAGGCATTTAATTTTATTTGATTTTACCATATGCCTACGATATATACATTACTAATGTCTTTTACACATACCACAACATATATTCAATAATAATGCTTAAAAATTAAAACCAATGATTTCCAAACTTTTTTTGGTGGAAATGGCTTTTGGCGGAAACGAGAATCGTACCTTTTTTGTTTTTGGCGGAAACGGGAAACTCCCTCTCTAATGGATTAATATTTTATTAACTATGATCACATGACTATTTTATATACTTGCTCTACTTTTAAGTCGTCGAAAATATACGCGTAAGGTATTTTCTGTGCCGTTATTCTGTAATCCGTTCTCGTGAGTTAATAATAAAAAAATATTGTTAAAGTAATTACCAGCTGCTTTTAAACATATTTTTTCAGAAATTTAAATAAATCACGATGACCATAGTTAAATATTTTATTTTATTAATTTATTAATTTACAATCGACAATTTTGTAAAATAACATTTTAATTTAGAATAAAAATACAATTTTTAATTGTATATTTCAGTAATTTCAAATGTATACAAGTTTACATATTTTTAGTATTTTATTTCCTAATCCTAATTATGAATATTCTTTACACCATTTACTTTCACCTTCCTTTAAGAGTTTTTTTTTTTGTTTTGTTTCAAGACCCTGATCCTTCAAAATCAAAATGTAAAAGGGAGAATAAAAATCGCGTAATAACGTAATTATTAAAACTTAAGTCTTCTAGTGGAATTTTAGTATTTGGTAACGTATACTTGTATGTATCAGTTTAAATCATCATAAAAAGGTCTTATGATAAAATAAAACTTCAAAAAATAAAAATAATTCGATATAAATTTATCTCGTTATAATAAACATACTCTAAAGGTATAAATTGTCATACAATTTTAATAATTTAAATTTTTATCATTTTCATAGTTTGTTGATAATAATTTATGTAAGTACGGTTGCTAAATTTTGATTATTTTAAATACCTATCAAAATATTTAGAATGAAAACACGCTATTTGAAGAAAAAAATTCCAGAAAAATCGTTCGAGAGGTAACCCGTATTCGTTTAAAAAATTCCAAAAGTTAACTGCAACTTTTTTTTTATATACTATAATAGAAAATATTTAATAAGCAAATAAACTATAAACTTACATTTTTTATATTTTCTTTTCTGTTAAAGAATTCCGCTGACTTCAAGTACAATGTAAATGTGGCTGTGCAATTCATAACTCAAATTATCGAAGAATTAGAAGCGGACGACAATGCAACAATAAAAATGAATTCAGAAAATAATTTATGTAGTGTCACCAACTATCATAAACGACAAATATTGAACAAGGATCGACAAACGTGCGAACAAATTAAACAAGGCATTCAGACAATGATTAACAGAAAAAATCAAGTAGAACGTTATTTCGAAATTGTAGATCGAAAGTTACAATTTGCAATTAAAAAAAAAATGTTTGTCATTATTATAATAAAATCATAATTTATAATATAAATTACGAACTCAATATTATTCATGAACAATTTTATTTAGAATGAAATCGGAAGCTATTATTTTGGCGGCAATGAAAGAACATGAACATAAAATATTAAACTTGCAGTTGGATACAAAAAGTTGTTCATCAAAAATTGAATCCATCAAAAAAAACAACGAGATGGAAAAGAATAAACTTATTCAGCTAAGGTAAACATATAACATTATATTGCATGCAATTTAGGTGGTAAATACATAGTTACATTAAATAAGTTTGATTATTTTTAAACGTATTTAAAGTAAATAAAATAAAAATAAAATAGTACCGTTTTTTAATGCATACATTTTTTACAAACTCATATTTTAAAAACAAAAAGTATTCTTCTTATTTGGCGTTTTACAGGTGTTTCAGGCCCATTGTCCATACACAAAATTGTATTCATATTATTAATTTGTAATTAATAAATACAATAACTGTCAAAACCTAATTAACGAAATAAAACTCGTGTAAATTTGTTAAGAATTAGATTAAAATTTAAAGATGTTATATATTTTTATTGATACATATTAAAAAAAAAATGTTTTCCATTATATCACTTAAATTTCAAGTAGAATTATTAAATTTTCAAAAATATCGCTAAATCGTAAAATAATTAACTTTAATATTTCTGTATATAATTGAAATAAAATAAATATATGCGGCATCAATATTAATTTTTGGAAAACTATGTATTATACATATTTTGTTTTCAACAAGTGTGACTAAATTAATTGAAAATAAAAAAATAACAAACTTAAAAATGAATAAAATTTTTTACATTGTCTAATTATTGTCCACTGGAATTTGTAAAAGAATCTTTGTTATAGAAATTATTTCAAAACAAAAAAAACACAATTAATACGAACGTACGATTCTGAAATGATGGAAAAATACAGAAAAGTGAACGAATTAAATTCAAAAATAAAAAATATTGAAGAAAATATATGTCAATTACAAGTAAGTTGGATATTTTTTGTGTATTAATGTATATATTATAATAATCATACGAATTTAAAATGTAGTGAATATCATAATTTCGTTATGTGGTCTCTATGTTCTCTAAAATGTACAAAAATACATTAAAGTTTCAAAATTAATTTGGTAAGTATAATGATTCGCAATCTTAATAAGTGTGTGCAATCAAAATACTGAACAATCGTATCTACAATATTAATTTTATAACATTCATAGGACAGCTAAATTATTTATTGCTACAAAAATGTACTTGATATTAAATATTATTAATTGTATAAAATAAAAAAATATTTTTCTTCTTCTACGAACGTAGAATGTCAATCATATTGTATTATAATTTGCATGATTATATGATAATGATAAACAAATATCAAGTTTTAGATACTTTTTCAAATATATCTATTTAAGTTTTGATATATTTGGGGTTGTAACGTTTAATACATTTAATTCCGTCGTTACCGTAATTTATTACAAAATGTTTGAGTGTAATAAGAAAACAAGATATTAATATTGTGATATCTGATTTTTATTATACTCCTAGGTATCGATTTCAGATCAAGTACCATTTTATAATGATGTGATTCGCGAAAAAGAAGAAGAAAACGATAGAATATGGCACGAAAAATTGTACCAAATACAACGTAAAATAGCCGCTCGAAAAATACAATTAAATTTTAGAAGATACTTAAACTATATTAAGACTCGTGATATCAAAAAAAATAAAAAAGGACAGAAAAAGTCTCAATCAAAAATGAAAAATAATTAAGTACGTAGGTAGGAATACATTTGAAAGCTATGGTTATGACCCATAGTTGTTTGATATGGAATACTACGTATGAGTATAGCACGGATTTATATGCATTAAAAACGTAAAAACGTAATGTACGTACAAATACATAACTTTATAATACATGGTGTCCTAAAAGAACCCTTTAATAAATTTATTTTTTATTTTTTTAAATAATCTTATTTTATGTAACATAAAATAGTACTAGGAACTTAGTAGTAGTAGTAATAGGCATTTAATTTCATAAGTTATAAATATAGCTTTATCTTAAATATTTCAACTTTTTATGTATGACACAGACACTAAAATAACAATAATAATTATGTCTACGAAAGTAAACTGTAATTTATCATTTATGATAAATACAAATGTTACTATAAAACTATTTGATTGATTGCAGGTTATTTATGATCAACAAAAATATAAATTGACAAATAGATTAATTTATGAAAACTGATTGAATTCATTTTCAATATATATGATGACATAGAACTGCACAGTGAGTATCATAAGAAAGTTGTGAAATTTAAAAAGTAAGAAATTTACTGACAAATTAAGTCAAATTTTTTTTAACATTTTATTTGGTTTTGTAAAATATTATATTGTTGTATTGATAGTCTTTATCAGTTTTCTAGTTGATAATTAAGTTTCTTTGTTGTCACTGTAAAATGCAATCTTTTACACATATATTTAATGAAATGTATATTAGTTATCATTAATATTTCATCATTATTACAACTAGTAAACCAGTTGACAATTATAAGTCTTCAAGAACAAAGACATAAAAAATTATAACCCAAAAATAAAGAATGGTGTGGTTAAGTTAGGTTATATGGTACATAGATTGTTGATAACTTCGAGTTCTCAATGAGCTAGCAATAGGTAATTTTATTTTTGACCGGCTTGGTCCAAAGAAAAATACCACGATCCCACCCATAACCGAACCGCTTTATTATGACACGGCCTGTATGACAAGCCCAGTACGGGCCACGTCGACCTAACCTGGCCCTGCAGATCTCTAGTAATAAAGTTCAAAATAGCAACTATGCGTTTAAATGCAACATTTTTATCTCACTCAGCCACCAACATCAGTAATAAAATTATTATTAATTTATACATGTAAACGAAATGTGATAAAATAATGGGGTTTAAAACTATAAAAAAATTGTTTCATAATATATATTGATTTATTAATCAAAATTTGGAAGCTCTTTATTCAACTGTATTTAATTTTATTTAGCTAACAGATTTCTTATAATATTAGGACTTTTCCATTGAATTGGAATCATTAATGTTATAATTAGAACATATTTTTTTTGTAAGTTTGTCTAATAAGATCTTCATAAAGTCTGAAATAAATAAAATTGTTAAAATGTAGGTATAATATATACATTTTATTTTTATTCATACTTACTAAATAATAAAAATAAACCACCAATAGTTGATGCTATTTTAATAGTTAGTTGAAATATGGTTATTTTATCTTCAGTGATAATAACTTTTAGAGCATTTATATCATATTGAAAAAATATTCCAGGCATACCATGACTCCCTAAAACAAACATAAATTTATGTGAATATAACCAAATTACCATTAAAATAGAAATATTTAACAAATTAAAAAGTAGTGATGGCAAGTATAATATTCAAGTAGTGAAGCAAGTGCTCAATTATATAATAATTAAAGATTTATCTTTAATAACTTTATAGTTGTTTAAAATAAAAAAATAAGTTATCAAGTTAAATATATATATAATATAAAATAATCTAAAAATGATGGAATGTTTAGTGTTAATATTTTTTCGTTATAATAATATATTAATTAATACATCTTTATAATTGTATAATAAAAAGCTATAGATCATCAATAACCCTTTAACCTACCAGAATTATGGTCTATTATTCTTTGTATATCTTTAGCTGAATACTGATAGGTTTTAATTTCATTTGAATGTGATTTAACATCTGTAGCTACTACATCAATGAAATACTTATACGATATATTACCTATAACAGTCATATTAGTTAGTTAAAATATGTTTACAATTGATAAGTTATATTAATTTAAATTATTTGAAAATATAATTAATATTTCTTACTTTCATTGGCTATGTGAAGCTCTCCTTCTAAGGAATATACAAGTCCCTTTGTTGGAATTCCGAATGAAAATTGATGAATTCGGTGAGAAAAATTAGTAGCCATTGATCCAAAAAATGGACCAGTAAGATGAACATGACCACCTGGAACTATTAAAGATTTTCCTGGAGTTATATGGAAATTTCCTATAACTTTATTTAGAATTAATGATCCATGAATACGACATGCATTAGGTAAAGTGTCAGGCTTCTCTGTTCTGTAATATTAAAAAAGAATAATTGAATACATTTTTAAGTAAATAATTTGAATTATTTTGCATTTATAAATAAAAGATAATAAAAAAGTTTCACGGAAGTTCAAATATTAACAAAATATAAATCCATACATACGTACAATAAAACAAATTTAGTTATTTAACTGAGACATGAATATATTAACTGATATATAAATATAACTAATATATATAACTGGAATATAAATAATGAATACTGTATACTTTCGAAAAATTATTGTTGATATTACTTAAATTCACCTTGGAAATTATGATATATGAGAAGCACATAAGATTTGTAAATAGTTTAATGACATATTTTTTAAATTGTATAAATGTTTTCATAGATTTTTCACAGCATCTAAAAGAATTCCATATCAATTTTTAATAATTTTGACAAGTATGGGTTATAGCTTTTTTAAAAACGTAATTCGTTTTAAACAAAATATGAAAATATTATAATAACTAAATAATAATTTATTTTAATAACATATTAAATAATATGAATTAACGTAAAAAAAACGTTTAAAATTAAAAAAAAAATTCACTTCATTTATATAAATTATACTAATATCTGTATTATTAAATCATGGAAGATAAATACTTTTAGGAATAAAATAGATTAAAATATATAAAAAAATTTAAAAAATTGTAATAGTTAATATTATTAAATTGTCAATAAATAAAACAAAATTGTGTTTTCTTGCTTTTTTTTATGTATTATATTAGTATTTATAAAAAGAACTTAAAAGTAGTTAGTAAATAATGTTTTAAATTACTATTTATCAGATAATAATTATATAGAAGATATTATATATTATTAAGTAATAATTTAAACTACACTCATGAATTTAAAAAATACTATTTTAAATATATTTGATGAAGAATTAAAAAATAATTTTAGCAATGAAATAGCAATTTCATTGCTAAAATCACTAAATACACTTGTGAAGAATTAAAAACAACTATATGATACTGTATTGAAAATAGTAATTATACCTAACAGGAAATTTGTTTTTTAATCTATTATAATCATCAAACATCCATAGAATATCTTTCATTGAATGGTATTCTTCCCTTAAATATTCGTTTATATCACGCATTTGGTCGAAATGCAGTTGCTGCTCTTTCGTCATTTCCCACCACGTATCATCAGTTTTTAATTCTCCAAATAACATCATATTTTGTCCTGTTGTATCAACAATATCAGCACCAATACCTGAAAATGATGCAAGATAAAATTTAAAAAAAATTAAGTTTATAATAAACTGTAGAAAAACTCAATACATACTATCACAAGTTGATGCAACTGTAATATCAATGTTAATTGGAAGTTTTGATTCATACTCTGTATCTGGTACAAATCTATATATGCTATGATCTTGTAAAACATATCGTATTTCAGAAATAATTATCCATAATCCAAATATGGAAACTAAAGCAGTAGCTAAAAAAATGTCATAGTAAAACTTTTATTTAAGTTTAAATTAAAAATGTAACTGACCACGACAAAATAGTATTAATATAACTAATAATTATATTAATAAAATACATTGTTCCAGTTAACACATTTAAATATAATATTGTGCTCTCTTACATATAACATTACTATAAGTAGATGGTTCATAAATTTCTTCTTGGACCTTTGGAAATGAATCAAATTCTTTTACTATATTTAAAGCTGATTTTTTCCCTCTATATCTTAACATTGCTATATTCTAAAAAAGAAAAGTAATTTAAAATTACTTTTATTATTATTCTTATTAGAAATAAAAATAACTGACTATTATTTGGAAATATTTTTATAGATTAAATGCAATAGGTTTAGTAAAAGCAAACAAATTTTTATTTACTCATGTATGGTTTGTTTTTTTTTTATTAAAAACTGTATATTTTCGTGTATAATATGTAGTAATTATAGGTATTTTAAAGTTCAATAATTCAATTATCTTAATAAATTGAATAATAAACCTACTGAAGCAATATATTTATATACATTTTCAATTATTCTCTATATTTTATCTCCTTTTCAGATTCAAGTTATTAAAGTTTGTTAATATTTAGTAAGACATAAACATTAAAAAAAAATTCAACAATTATTTACAACTACCACAAAAAACCTTAACAATAATGATATAAAACTATTATTTATAACACAGAACAAATATTTAAATTGAATATCTGAATTCAACATAAAATATGTAAAAGTGTTTAAAAATATAAATACTAAACTTTTTTGCTTATTTTGTAAATAGATAGGCACTTAAAATAACTTTTTTTAAATGTGTCATTAATGTTTCTTATGTTATTATGGATTAATATTGAAATTATTTTTCTTAACTCAAAATTAATTTTAATTACTTATGGTTAAAGTTTATACTTAATTTCTGTTAAAATATATTATAAATAAATAAAATGACGTTAAATGCAATAGAATAAACAATAAGTAAAATAGATGTACCTACAGTTATTAATACTAATATTACTACACATGATAAGGGTATTTTTATACATAAAATAATGTACTTTTATACATAATATTCACAACATTAAATTAAATTTACTTTTAATTATAATTGTTAATAATATGTACAAATTGCTTTTTAAATTTTTTTTTCTGGTTAAAGTTTCCTTTTAAACTATAAAAATCGTTTTAAAAAGAAAAATTTAATATTTGAAATATTTATGGTGTAGAAACACATTAATAACTATCATTTAATAAGTTAAAAATCAGTTAAATTCCTGATAATTTAATGAATTAAAAAAAGCACTTAAAATAAAAACAGGAGAAACCCTTCAAATCATTATTTTGATCGACTAAATGACTGTTTCGGTGGTTGGCTATATTTAAATAAAAATAAATAATTCAACTTTTTAAATATACCTACTCACTTTTCTATTTAGACCAAACACTTAGAAACTTTTTTTTTCTTTTAAGTTTTGATACTAAATACACTCTTGTGCATTGAATACGAGACAAATATCATAGTTAACACCTAAGTAGGTGGTCACACTATAAAAAAAGACATTTAAACTGTGGGCAAATGTCACGTTGTATAATATTCAAAATTACGTTTACTAGTCACTAAACTGGATAGAATTGAAACATAGTACTCGAATCGTATGCTAACTGATTTTATCATCAATCACTGACGTGTTATCATACACTGATATCAATAATAGTAATCAAATTTAAAATCGACGAGTACCTGCTCACTAGTGTACTTACGTTAATTTCATAAATTAAAATTATATATAAATTATAAAGTTTATAAATATAAAATAAAACACATACATTCAAATTTATTTATTGAAAATAACAATTAAAGTTGATTGATATCAAAATATTGTTTAATATAAATTGTTAATATGTATTTTTAAAATCCAAAGTTCATTGTAAATAGACGCAAAGTCCAAAGGAAACTATTAAGTGTTTTTATTAATTATACGGATTAAAAATCAGAAAATTATCATCACATCAAAATCAACTTTGGATTATATTGTTATTAGTGATGACTAATAAACAATGGATTTAAATGGTTTATACTAATATGAAGTAATAAACGAAACCAAATCAATAAATTCATTTAACTTCAAGGAGCTGGCATAATACATATTAAAATTACATATCAATAGGACAGAGGACTTGTATAGCATATTTGTTTTGTACAATCATAAAAATAACAGAATACAAAACAAATATGTTTCATACTTTCACAAAGCTAGTCTTGACATTTTATTTTGAAAATAAATGCATATTTCTTCCATTTTATATTTTAATATGTATATTTCAAATAATTTTAAATTTTGATCATATAATATGGTTGTTGACTGTTTGTAGACGCACGTTTTTCCTAGTAGATAATATGTCTTCCAGGATCGGCAATTTTATTTATAAACAGTAAACACGTAGCTTACATCATACATTTTCGGATAGGACGTTAACGATTCCATTGATGATACCGAAAAAATGTCAATGCATTGCCTTTTGTCAGTGTTCGTAAATAATTTAATACTATAGTAATTAGTTCTGTAGTCTGCGCATATGTGTCTGTATACGTAATTTGTGTCAAATATTCGTTGTATACTGTTTTTTACATTAAAATGTTAAAAGATAAGTAGTTTTTTAACAATCGGTCAAAGAGTTATTTATTTGAATTTGGTGTCGATGTGTTTTTGACAAACAGTTAAGTCCTATACTGTAAGTATTGTGATATTAAAGTAAGATGTGAAAAATGATTTATGTTTTTTATAAATTGATCGTTTTTAAAAAAAATATAAGAGTATGTTAAATATATTTAAAAATACTAAAAAAATTGTAATGCATATTTTAGGGTTTTTAAATACATAAGTGCTTGCATACTTAGTGTTTTTTTAGAGCTACAAGTCATCTGTCCTACATATTAGTATTATGATATTACTAATGACAAAATAACACGTTGACATTTATAGCGTTTTCAGCCGTACAAACACACTAAGCTGTCTTTTTCATGCACCGTTCTAGTTTTGTACACCGAGTTCAGGTGATAAGTGCACGAAAACATTGGACTGCACCGAATTACTAATATCATTTATCATTTATCAACACAAAAGGTTTTATAAAATATTATATAAAACATTTATTGGCGTGTAATTATTTTTATAAATGAATTGTTTTTACCTGACGAAAACAATGTTTCTTATTTATCTATCTACATCTGTACACGTACGATTGTTTTTGTTCATTTAGAGCAGCGATGCTCGATTAGGCTTAAGAAAATGCTAAATATTAATTTTAAAAATATTATCGGGCCGCTTAGATGTTTAATGAATCATTAATAATGATAATAATCAATTAATAAAGTGTATCATAATATTATAATTGTACAAACGACCGACAAAAATTAGTATGGTATATTTATCGTTTTATCTTTATTTATTTGATTTGATGTTATTTCGATGTAAATGAACGGAACCTTTTTGTTTCTTTTATGACGATCTTGTTTATGTCTACAGCTATTTTTGATGTTGATAGCCGCATTTAATACATCAACGAAAATAAGTATTTTAGTATTCGTTTAGTTAGGGACTGACTTCAGTGCAGCCCGGGAATTTTTTCAAGTATTCCGAAAACTATTATTTAATCTATTACACTATTAAACATTTATGTTATAATACAGGAACGGACTAGGTAGGGTCTGATCCAGCGACGGATTGGCTAAAAATTTCGGCCCATGAAATTACCGTATGACCGGCCCACCATCCAATAATAATAATTTTTCCATAAAAGTCTCCTTTATTCATGAATTAAATGCTCGTAAAACTGTTTACGTGACGTTTACACTAGGTTTTTATCACAATTTTACAATTAAATACAATATACTTAAATACATTATTTTTATAAAATAATTTTTAATCCAAGTGCATAGACCCAGTGTTATAAATTATAACTTATAATACGACTACCGGGAACTTTCCAGGTATCCCGGTGGGCCAATCCACCGTTGGTCCGATCCACTTATATAAGGTACCTATATAAATATATATATTACTACATAATTTCAAAATAACTAACTTATAGAGTTAAGAATAAAATGCATGCGCCTATTTTTCGCCGATGAAAAATGGTCCTACTAGTGTCTAGTCGCAAGCCGCAGTAGAAAATAAATATAAAATTTATAATATCGCGGACCACGCTGTTAGTCGTCCAAAACGCGTACATAAGAATATAGTTTAAACTTACAGGTACTTGTATGCACACGATTATGAGATTTCGCTTATTATATATATATATATATATAATATATAATAATATATATATATATATATATATAATAATAATACACCAATATGTTTAAAAATAATTAACGGCAATAGCAACGGATAACGAATGATTAGTGTTTAGGTAGTTAATTAAAAAAAAATCATTAACTAATATAGTAAATAGTAATATACTAATATTTTACCGTATGGACGATGCTACCAGTCGTCCAAAACATATATATAAAGAACGCAGTTTAAACGTACCCGCACACACACGATTGCTGCGCAGTCTCATATGAGTTATAATATACACATACGTGTTCAAAATAGTTTTGACGACGCTGCTGGTCGTAAGTACACACTATACATACTCGTACACTCCTGATATCTGAGAAAACAAATATAATGTTCACACACGACAAAATGTATATAATAAATTATATTATATACAATCAACTCACGGTATAACGAGTTCGATATAACGAATAAAACTGTCGTTCCCTTAATAACCTCTTGATGTAAAGAAAAATTAAATATATTTTGGTCCCCTCTATATAACAAAGTTTTTTTGGTCAATGTTCTAGGAATGTAACGAATTTTTACAATTTTTTAGCTTGATATTACGAATTTTACCAGTTTTTTTCGGCTATTAATATGTGATAAGATAATATTCATCTCATTATTTATACACATAAGATATACATATAAGATATGCGTATAAGATACACATTTGTTAAATAAAACTTGTTATTACGGAGCTTATTGCTTAATAACTTTTTTTAGAAAATTTAATTTTTTATCATTCTTACATGGAATATTTTGTCATATCATCAACCGTTATTCCGATATACCGTAAAAAAGTTAATTTTTTTAAATAAGTGAAATATTCAGTATTCTATAATTGTTTATATAAAATAATATGTGAACGAAAAATATTATAGATATGTTTTTTATTCAAAATATAAATATATATAATATAAGTTATGTACATTTTTACAATAAGTTCAATAGTTTATTGATTATATTAAAAAAACGTCAAACCAACGTTATTTTGTAATTTTTCAATCCTTTTGTGGGCAAATGAAAGGGGTTAGTAATCATAACCAAATTTAACTAATAAAATGAGATGGTTAGAAATGAAAAATATTTTTTTTCTTCACCATAACTAAGGGCCACTCTAATGTAGGTACATAATAAAAAATATATACATTTTAATTAAATAATAACTTATGTACCTATGTACAATGTATTTATGTATCTAATAAAATATGTAATAACATCTAATATGTATGTATGTAATTATAAAAATCTAAATTTTCTTTTAAATCTCGTTTAAACGAATTTTGTTGATTTATGATATTGTTAAGACGAATTTCGGTGTAAAGAACTTTTAGTATACCGAACTTTTTGCTCGGTCCCTTGAAATTCGTTATATCGCGAGTTGACTTTATTATAGTTATTCGAAAAGTGCAATTTAATAAAAAATAGTTTTTAAAAATATACAAAATTTATAATTAATTTTCTTCTTTTCATTAAATTTAGTAGGAGTGCAATCGTCCCGTTGTCCAAGCCACGAGCCGCCACTGCTTGCTTGTTAATTGATCTTCTTAATTAAATGACGTGGAAACATTTCAGCTGATATTCCATGCATTTTTCGTAGGATTGTAATTTTTAATATTCTCCATTAATATTAAATCGCTTGTGTGTGAGGTCGAGTCATTGGATCAACAATATTTTTTGAATGGTTTACTGTTCTATGATCATAGTTTTTATTTTTTAAACAAGAATATGCACTCAATTCACTTAATATTAAAATAGGAATTAAAGTTTCCTTAACACGGTTTTTTACCATAAAAAATCTTTGTATCAAATGATCTCTAATTTTGCTACATTCATTGCTTAACCTAATCTGAATACCACTGGTTCATCTACTCTGTAACCATAATTTTTGTTTGATGTGGACAATTAACTAGATTTATTTAATTGTCTTAGTCACTATCAAAATTGGAGTCGGTCCAATAATTTTGTGTATCTGTTAATGACGCTGATCACCTAATAGCAGTCTTTCTTTCTCTCCGCCTCGATAATGATTCATGAATTGGTATCACTATATTTTTTCCTTCCATGCTTTGACGATTTTCAATTAAAATGAACCACACACGTCTTTACACAAATTAAACCAGTCAATAATGGTGATTGCATTTGAACGACCAGTTAAATCGGAAACAGTTTCAATGGGTAAATCTTGTTACCAATAATAAGTGAGTTCTAGTATTTGACCCAAACTGAAATTTGAATTGCATCGTGAATTAAGATCAGTATAGGTATATAAAAAAAATCCATTTATTAATCGTATTGATTAATATGTCAGATATACTTTTGAGACGTATCTTATAGCGCTGATTTCTCTAAATTCATCAGTAGGTAGTCAATCTTTTTTTCTCATATACATCTTTTTTCACTATGATATTTATGGCATGAATTAGTTTCGTTATTTTGTGGTAGGTAGTAGTTTATTCTTTTGTAAAAATTCAGAACACGTTTTTTTTTTTCAGAAAAAATAATCACATACTATTCGACTGCTAACACGTCAAGGTTTTAATCACACGCGATTTAGGATCAACTACAGAACACGTACTGGCAATATTTTCAATTATGAACAATGTATAATGTTAGAATGACAAAATATTTATTAGCAAGCACCAGTGAATATAATATTAATATAATAAAATTATATAGATAAGCGAACATTTTTATTGTCCGGTACCCATACTCCGTTTCAGAAGAGAACATACCGCTCTCACGCATACCCGAGGCCAATTTCTTCAATTTTCGCCGAAACGAGGCGTCGATAACGCACGACGGTCACCGTCTATGGTCTTAGGAATTTTCGATTTAAATACATGTAATTTAATCTTAGTGTTGACCTCTTAGCACTCGTGAATGGTGCCGCTGTATATTTTGAGCGCGTAACCATTATAAACACCACCAGTATTGGCACGCATAACATTATTTATTGATTGTTGAACACGAGCTATCGGGGGAAAAAGGGGAAACGTAATTATCTGAAAGCGAGGTCTTACATTATTTTCCCGAAATATCTTTCGTGACCACGGAACGAACGATGAGAAACATGTGGTGCTCAGCTCCATCTTTACCCTATGGGCACTTGGGACACGTGCCCATGCCTCCCATCTGGCTGGGTTAGAAATTACAACTTTGAATTTTAATCTATAACGTATTAATACGACTGCCTATAAAAAAATTATTCTTAATTGTAGAAAAAAAATTTTAGATAAACAGTAATGTTAAAATGTTAATGTCAAATAATTAATGAACGCTTAATTGTGTGTAGTTGCATTAGGTATATTTTATTTTTCATTCAATTATTTAAAAAGATTTTTCTTTAAAATTAATAACTCATATCTTTCGGCTACACAAAAATCATCATACATACAAAATTAGCTTTTGATGTTTTTACTCACCTATTTTTCGTTTACTGAAAGACCCCTAAGTTCCAGGTGCCCATGGGCCCTTGCATAGCCTACGGCCTTGGTGGTGCTAAAAAAACCGATGGCTATCGGTTGAAAGTCCCGTGTTATTCTGCAGGACCGTTAAGGCTGGAGTCACACGAAATGAACGTCACGAGTGCGATCAGTGTTCTTTTAATGGGGCGTTTTCATGACGATCGAGTTCCTGGCGCCTGTGTGACCGCGGCCTAAGCATTACGCGGGATCGCTGTGGAGGCCGTGTAAAAGGTGCGATCCCGCGGCGTGCGTTTCCCTATTCGATAAACACGCGTAGCGCCAGTTTCCCTTTGTAATGTACACAAAGACCGACAATCGTCGGGAACGGTCGTATCGCACCGCACCATTTCCACGACGAGTTTGTTGTACCGCGCTGTGCCGCGTGCTCGTGGGATCACACCCCAAGTGATAACAGTAGTGATACAACAGACAAACATTTGTGCGGGTTCATAATATATTATTACAAACAATTCTATCCGAATTTTCAACAATACTGAAATCCGCAGTCGTAATTATCTGTTGAACAATGTTTGTGCTAAAAAAATCATTTCAATCGAGTTCAATTAGTATTATATTTCTGTCGAAAAGTTAAAAACTATGGTAATTGCTCGATGGCTTTTGTTCACATTAAATGTAAATATTCATAGTGATTAGTTTAGTGTTTTGTTCAATCCTATTGATCGCAATTATTAGTCAACTGCCAAGATGGGTTTGGACATAGAAAGTGTTATGAACGAAATAATATTTGATCAGAAGTTAATCAGTGCATTTAACACGTATGATAAGTACATCAATTATCGATTTGATTATGTCATTAGAGCAACAATGAATCAGTTACCTACAGAACTTACAAGTATTGATTGTGAGTATTTTTCAATATATAATATTATATATATGTTTATATTTTATATATATATATATATATATATATATATATATATATATATATATATAATGTATACATAAAATATATGTTTCATTTATTTATTACGTTTTCTTATACTATTAGTACAATCATTAAATATTTTTCATTCCTGAAAATGAAATGAAATATATAATTTTAAATGTATATAGATATAAAAGTAGGTACCTACCTCATATGTGATATACTTTAAGAGTATTTTATTAATTATATTGTATATAATTATATCAAATATTATTCTTTTTATAATAGGTAATGTTTATTGAGTTACATTTTATAACTTTTTAGTAATTTTACTTTTTGAAATTCCAATTACATTTAATAAGTTTGAGTAATTCTTCTATTTGTAGTGTTCATAATCGTTAATTTGTTAATTATTTTTTTAGATTCTGTGTTTGATGAAAATCAAGAAATTTTATTAGCATGTATTGAAAGTAGTAATAGAGAAAATGATGTTGATAAATTACGAAAAGAATTACAAACATTAAAAAATGAAGTGTATCATAAAAAAAATGAAATTAATATATTAGATGTAAATGAAGAAGCATTGAAAATGAATATTCATCAATTAGAAGAAATTATAGTTATAAAGGTAAAAAATTAAAATTATTATTATTTTTGGTATATTATAAAATATATTATGTATTATCAGATTATTTCATAATTTACTGTAATTTAAATATTTTAGGAAAATTTGATTCGTGAAAATTTGTGCTATGCAGAAATTAGAGCCAGTGCAAAAGATAAAATAAAAAAAGAATATCATAAAACCACAAAAAAATATAGTAAAATTTTAAATCTTAAGAAGAAGATAAAACAAGAAAAAACATTAAAAACAAATTCTAGTAATGGATCTAATAAAAATAATAATTCTGACTCTGGAGCCAAAACCACAGCAGAAAAAATTGAGAAATATGAAATTAAACTAAAGCAAATGGATGAAATAATAAAAATTGCTGGGGATAGCAAAGAAATGTATTTACATATATAGCATGTATTTCTTATTAAATACTTATGATATTTTATTTTTAGATTACAACAAAATCGAGCTGCACTGAAAGTTTCCAAAAGCCGTTTAAAAGTGTTTTATGATCAATTACACAATCTATTAAAAAATAAACAACAAATAATATCATTAATAGAAGAAAAAGAAAAACGAATTATGCAATTGGAAATACATGTTCCTAGTTTAGGGGTATATAAAACAAATTGTTCATTATGAATAACATATTTTACTTTCAAATTATTAAAAATAGGTCTTGTCAAGCATTGAAAAAAGTAGAGTAAATTCGTCTTCAAATTTCATTAAGGATAATAATTTAAAAAAAGAATTTTTAGAGTTGCAAAAAATGAGAAATGATATTTTAAATTTACGACCTAAAGGCATGTTCAATCCAAAATATCAAAAGGTATTTATTTAAACTTTAATTTGTAATTATGAAAAATAATAAATAAAATATAATGCCCAAACATTCATGCATGCTTATTATTATATTAATTGTTACTACTTCTATGAAAAGTATATTTCGTTTGCATAAGCAGTATATTAAAATATAATAAATTATAATGAACTTATTAAAATTGAGAGTTAATTGAAATGTAAAATTAATAATATACACACTTAAGTATGAAAAATGGAAATTATGTTTCATATATGCATGTATTAGTCTTATGTATACTTTGTATACAAATATTAAAATTGATTAATTTAACTAAAAAAAATAATAATTCTAATTTTTTTATATTTCTATATTTTTTAATTAAGGAACATTGTTTAACCAAAGAAGAGATTCGAAAATATTTAGAAAATGATGAAGCTATTGATTCCATAGACTATTTAATTGAATTAAGAAATAGTGAAGTGGGCAACAATAATAAAAATTTATTAAAAAATAATGAATCGGTAATTCAATAATATTGTATTAACATTATACAAACATTTTCAACAAATATGATTGTATTTATTTTTGTTTAGTGTTCTGATGAACAAGTACATTTCATGAAATTCCTTTCAACTTTGAGTAATGATGAAATTAAAAAGTTGTCTGCGCATTATTTCATTAAAGTTGTGGATTTAAAAGAATCTGGACGAGAGAATGATGAAATAATATCTAAACTTGATGTATGTAAATCAATCAAATTACATTATTTTTCTTAAGTAAAAAATATACATTTGTTTTATGATTAGGCAATTAATGATAGACAGAGGCATAATATCGTAAGTTTGAATAAAAATTTCCAAGATTTTCATTTGTCAATAGAGAAGAAATTTGCGGGATTAAAAAAGTATTATCAAGATAAATTAAATATGCTTTTTGGAGTATTGTCAGAAGAACATAATGTCATATCTGCTATGAAAATGAAACAAGAAATCATGGCACTTAAAAAAAAAATAATTGAATTAGAAAAATCTCAAACAGGTTATTATTAAAAACATTATCTTTTTCTTTCATTTAATGTTGTCTGTAAACTAATTAATTATATTATTTTAGGGAAACCTAAAGAGGATTTTATAATACCTGCACCCCTTATAAGCGCTAATCTTCTAGAAGCATCAAAATCTGGTTCTGAAACCATGTCTTCTACCAAAGTGACATGTCATAAAAATAAGCTTAAAATACAAAAATGTAAACCCAAATTACCTTAGATAACAATTTATTCATTTTTTATGGATATTTAGTTTTGATTTATATTCTAATAAATATTTACTGGCAGATCTAGACTAGATATCAAGTGTGTAAATACATTCAAATTAACCTTATTTACATTACTCAATATTTTTACATATATTGCAGAGGATCTGCCATCTATCATAAAGCTTGGGACACTCATACAATCACAGCAACACTTCAATAACATCTTCAACAAATTTCTCTGTGGGGCCAAAAATGAAGAATAACTCTATAAACTTTAATAAAAAAGAAATCCATTATAAAGCCAAGCAGTACTTTTTTCTCTACATAGACAAAAAACATCTCAACTAGTCAAATTTAACAATAAGCCAACAGCATTGATATTATTGTTAAAATACTGAGGTGTTATTCTAAATAAAAAGCTCAATTGGTGGTCTTACCTAGTGATGGGAATAATCGAATGATTAGATTATTTGAAGTAATTGAAATAATGGTATCGGATATATTTATCTAGAGAAAATTAATCAAATAATTGGAAAAAATTGCGTGTTATAAATTTATCAAACAATTTAATTTAATTAAATTAATTTAATCCTTTTCACTTTCTGATATTTAATATTTTATATTTATACATTAATAATGTTAATATTATATGTTTCATGGCCCAGTACCGCTCTGCTCATGGTCTATTGGTCGGGAACTATTAGTCTAGTGTATGGATACATTTCTTTTTAGGTTTATAATGAATTATAATGTTTACTTTCTTTAGTTGTTTTACTTAGATTAAAGTCAATGGGTACTAAAATAAAAATGCAACTTTCCATGTATTGTATTGTTATTTATTTTCATTATTAGTATAATACTCGGTATTGGTAATCATCACACTAAGGCTAGTTGCTGATATGCAATTTTCAGTTGGACAATAGTAGGAAAACAGTTTGATCATTATTGCTCACATATAGAATTGAACTATCTAGTCACACTATGATACATAGGATCATTTGATTATTTATATCACCAATTCCAGCAATGTAAATCATGAATCATTCTAATACTCGATTACTTTTATTTTGATAACCTACTAATCATTCAAATATTTCTATCACTAATCTCACCTATCTGTTAAACTCCAGCAAGCATATCAAAGTTTAGGTGTTATCTTCCTAATAATAAATAAATAAACTTTAATTAAAAAATGCTTTTTTTATGATTACTAAACAAGTTCTAAGACCTAAAACTCTATTTGGGATAATTGTGCTAATAGCTATTTAAATAAAATTTATATTTCAAAACAAAATATTCATATAACTTCAAATGCTCCCTGGGTTGTATGTAACAAAGTACTAACATATAGGCTTGAAAATCCTTGTAATATTTATTTTTTTCATTTTAAATACTTCATACAATTTTGAAAAAAATAGATATCAAATGGTAATTGGATATCTTAAATGCATATATTCAATGATTACATTGAATTTTTTAAAAGTGCTCCCTATACATTAATATGTTAACAACTTTATTTTAAATATTAAAAATCAATCATTATGACTGTTAATAATTATCATTTACTTATTTTTTTTTAAACAAAATGGGAAAGGTGGGTGTTAGTTATTTTTTTCATTTGCCTAAGTCAGTAGGTGTATTAAAGATATATTGGTCATTAAGTCTTTAATTTATAACTTGATAACAATAACAATTAATATTACTGATTATTTTACAAATCAATAGCTTCCATTCAATTTTTACTTCATTTTTCATTAGTTTTATTTGTAGTTTTTACTTTTAGGATATGTTAAGGTATACATATAGCATATTATGTGGAAACATCAATACTTAATTATGATATAAAATGTTATACTTAGAATAAATTTCCATTATAATATTTCAATTAAATGTATTTTGATATGTAGTCAGATGGAAATAAATAGAATATTCAAATTTTTTTCTTGAATACCATTATATTCCTATAGATAATGTTTAATACTTTCTATACATATAATATTACAAGGTGCAATGCTATTTTTTCTTATCTATTTTTAACACATTATTTAATTTTTTGATTTATTTAAGTATACAATTAAATTGAGCATAATTAATAATAATAAAAATATAAAATGGATAGTAATAACAATAATGAGTACCAACATCAATGATTTGGCCGATCATCAGTAACACGGTCTAGGAGATCTCAGCGTGGTCGTCTAGGCGTAGCCATTTCGGCATAACCCATTTTGACGTGGATTCAATTCTTTTAGACTTATATTTTTTAATTTGATTTTTAAGTCAGAATTAACAACTATGCCGAGGCAGCTAACAGATGACTTAATTTACAAATGGATATGCAGCATCCAACCTTATGGACATTAATTTCTTGTTTGAGAAAAGTACAATCTGGTCGTGATACATTTTATAATCAATTAGAAGCTAGAAAAAGTCCTCCACAGAAAAGAAAGAAGTATATTGATGCAGATAAAAGAATAAAAAACTTGTAAAAAATTATAACGATCTTGATATCATTAGTTTTTTAAGGGGGATAGCTCATAATATTAGTTGTCATTAGTTTATTTTAATTTCATTTATATTAGGTTAGATATATAGAGGAATAATTATTATCATTATTATTGTTGACCGATGCCGTATCGCATAATATGATTTACACAAAATTTGATATTGATATATTTGATATTTAATATCATTTATGTAGCGTGTTTAGAATCATATACTATACCGGTCGGCATACAGCACGTTTATAATAAAAATCAAATTAAAGAATATAAGTAAAAGAATGGAATGCACCCCGAGATGTACCCGGGTCCTTCAGTAACATCATTCCCAAATTGTACCAATATGTACAAAAATTAATCGAAATTATATTTAATGCATTTCTTAAAACACTAATATTTCCATTTTCAATTATTTTATGTTATAACCACCTTCTCTTACCCTTTGTCTCTTATGTCAACGTGTTGAAGAGTTTAATAGTGAACATTTTTCTAATAATTTTTTTGAAAATAAATACGTGTTTAATTGATCAAACATTAACTTACTAGACAAAATATAAAATTAAAGTTGCAACGATATACACGTGCGTTAATCTGATAATGCACCTGGTGTTAAATAAACTACCAATGCGATACAATACAATGTGCTGAAAATGAAAAATTATAGATTTAAAGCAACACACAAAAACAAATTTAACTTCCTCGATCCGCAGTAACAACACTTGCGTAAACAATTATTTTCAACAAATCTACTCAACAATACTGTTCTAACAATATATGTATCTTCTTTCTAATATGTATACAGGCGGAATAATAGATAACAATAAAAATGTGCTTGCGTATTTATATTTATATATTAAATTAATAGCATTTTACATACCTAAGTAATACATAACTAATTCACCAATTTATCTAAAAGTAAGTCATAATAAGTAAAATAGTTCTTATGCAATGGAACATAAGCACGTAAATTTAAAAAGGCAATAAGCACTAGCTACTTCTTCTGTGATATAGACATGTTCTATTAAGAATTTACAAAAATATGTGTTATTTAATTTTTCATGAATAAGGGTAAACAACATGAACAATTTAAAAACCTAAAAAAAAAAACCCTCTTAATTAGTGAAATTTCAATTCTATGATAGCAATTAAGCTATTAGTTTAATTTATATATTATTATTTATGGAAATAACAAGATAAAATATAATTTTATCAAACAATGAAAGATATATTTTATTGATTTAATTTAACACATTTATAATTAACTATAAATTATGTTTTATAAACACTACAATAGATTAACTTATTATAATTTATAACCGGGAATATGCATTTTAAGATTATAATTTATGAAGATGAAAAAAAACATAATATTTAACTAAACTAATAGAACAGCTTCATTGAGTCATTTTATAACCAAGAAACAAAAATTAATATTAAAGAACATAAAAATAAAAACTATTAGGTATAACTTAACAACTAAAAGCTTCTAAAAGCTAATTACAATCAATAATATATTATAAATTAATAACATATTAACAGATTGAAACATATTTACAAAAAATTCTGACACTAAAAAATTGTATAAAATGTGTACTATAATTATTTTTCACCAACATCAAGATTTTTATTCAATTTTAAAGCAAGAAATGTACATCTAAATACAAATATTTAATGTATAATTATACAACCAATAGTCATAATTAATAAGTAAATAAATACAATTATAAAATATTTTCATATAGATATCATAGTATTTTAAATTAACATTTTTTTTTAATTTTAAATTATCAATTGAACTTTAAATATTTTATTATTTGGAATTTAAAGTAATTACTACTTGTTTATGTTTTTTAATTTTTAAATCAAATAATGTTTACTAAGAATATTATCATTTTAAATTAATATTAAAAATATTTATATTACATGAATGTTTAAAAAAAAAAAAAAAAATGAATTAGAGAGGAACTTTAAAGACATTTTTTTTCTTTTCAATTAATCGAATAGTTTTTTTTTTTATAATTTATATTGATTTATCTTATTCTAATAAATAATTATTTATTAATTTTATCAATAATAATTTTGTCTTGATCGGTCATTACCTCTATTAAAATTTTTACCACGACTACGGCCACCTCGTTGAGTATATGAATTCGTATACGGCTTTTTATCATAACCATCATTGTTCCTTTTGTATGGGCTGTAGGAACTTTGTTGACGGCCATTAGATTCCATATTCTGTGAACGCATTTGATTGTATTTATAGTTGTTAGATTTATTTTTATCACGTCTATAACCATCATTATAATTATTTTGATATTCATTGTTATATTCTTGAAAATTATCTTGTTTGAAACTTTGATCATTATATTCTTGATTAGTATAATTATTTTGATTTCTATTATTTTTATTGCTTGAAAAATTGTTATTACCACGTTTGTTCTTATTCCTTTCTGACCAACGGTTATTAAAATCTGATTCATGTTGTCCTTGATTTTCATACCGCCTATTTTTATTATGATGCATAGTGTCTCTAAGATCTAATGAAGATGAACCTTTTTCATTGGCATTTGTATCATGATAATATTCTGAATCCATATGTTTTCGTTTTTTAAACATAGTATCTCTTAGATTACGCACTGGCACAACATTAGCAAAATTATCATCATCTGTGTACGAAGGTTCTTGATTATAATTTGAATTTTCTCTCCAATTAGATGATGAATGACCATTATAATTTCGGTGTTTGCGGTTATAAATTTGATTATCAAATGAATCTTCATTAAAATTAGACATTTTCATAGAACTAGCACTGCTGTTATGTTCTGATTTTCGATAACGTCCACAACTACGGAAAGATCTATCAGTTGATCCATGTTCACTTTCATAGCTTTGGTCATGATTTATTGTATAAGTGTCATTATGTTTTGAGGATTTATCATTATAGCCGTATCTAGACTTGGCGTCTGATCTACGGCTATAACTTTCATCGTCATCAAAGTTAATAAAATGATGTATTGGTGGTTCTGGTAAACTCTCTGGAATATTGATTTTACTTTCTGAACTTTGATCATTCCATCTATTCCTATTGGAATTATTTTCACTTGATTGACTACGTTCAACACTAACTAATTGTTTAAAATAGTTAAGTTGGTCATCAAAAACTGGGTCTTCAAGATGCTGTGAATAGCTTTTTGTTATAATCGGTAGCCCATACAATGTAGTACCCTGATACAACTTTATACTATCGTCCACTGAACTTGCATATTTAAAAACTACCCAAGCATAGTTTTCACATATATCAGGATCATCAAAAGGGAACTCAACATATTCAATGGGTCCTGCCTAAAGAAAAAACCAAACCAAAGTTATGTTAATTAAGTGACTTAAGAAATTATTTTAATGGAAAAAAAAATAATTTTAACTACCTGATAAAACAATTCCGTTAAATTTCTGCTAGTCACTTTTGGATGCAGATTGCCCACCCATAAAAATCGACATTTTGAATCTAATTCGTCATTGTTTGGACTGTCATTGATAAAGTCCATTGCTGAAAAATATTTTCTCCCCGTCGTCTTTTAGAACCACTTCAAACGAATTCGATTTACTTGGTTTTAGTGAAATACAAACATTTGGAGTAACTACAAAACATTCGAAGTACAAGCTACAGTATAGCAGTCACGAACAAAAACGCACACGCACAGGCAAACACGCACACGCACACAAAAACGTGAAAGAAATGTCGACCTTATCAGCACGTCGATATCTTTATAACATGTTTATACCTATGGTCCGTACCATGAACGTATATACTGTCAGGTATATGGTCCACACTGCTTATTTATCGTCTACGTGTACGTGAAATGCGAGTGTGAACGAAATATTTTCTTATTTTAATCGGAAAAAATATTATACATTTAACAGTAGCTATTTTAGAAAAAAAAAGAAAAAAAAATTAAAATTTGATATCAAATGAGTTGAATAATTTATAAAACAAGCATCACACGCACATAGTAAATATCACCAGATGGCGTTTGAAACAAAAATAACTGTTGTAGGTTTACGACGACGGAACGGAAGACGCGTAGCAGCTGTCCCGACGGAGTATAATCCGCTGAACACCTCCGTAACCGTTCACTTGCTACAATCACCGGATCTTGGAGGACTCGGGCCGCAGGCGATAAACATTGCGATAAGCTCATTGCAATTTGAATAAAAATAATTTAATATTTTTCAATGACCAATATTTTCTATAAATACAAAATTATTGTAATACTTGGTTTCTGGTTTTCAATTATTTGTGTCCACCGAGCAGTCGAGTTCCTTTCGGCTCATGCATAATGTACTTCAGGCGCGGATCCAGCCTACCTTAACAGGGGGGGGGGATTATAAATAATTATACATATTTAGATACCTACTGCTAAATACGAGTATATTATATTATTATTATATATATATATATATATATATAAATAGTTATAAATGCAATAGTACATAATGCAATTCCTGATTATTTATAAATTTATAATGAATACTTTTTTTGGATGGTGAAGACGACTCACTTGAATCCACTGCAATTCGATTTTTATTTTCCTCAGTTGTTCGATCATCATTTTCCACAGTACTTGCACAAGTTGCACTTTTTTTTTAAAAAAAATGTGTAATATCGACATTTTTCTTCTTAGACATTATGTTTTTGTTCAATAAACGAATAAAATGAAATAATTACAGTATAACAACTATAATACAAACGTTACCAATTAAATTAAAAGAATAAAACGCGGTCACTTTTAACGGCGTATTACGAGAAATATAATTTCGATTACTAAGGAAATTATACGTAATACAAATACATGTGTATATCTACGGTTGTCAAACTAAAGACTAAAGAGTGTCTAATCTTATGTCAACAGTCAACACAACAATTATTACTATTATAGGTACTGCTAGAAATAAACTGATATCTGTATTATAAATATGTATATTTCAGGCAGTCAGGAATAAGGAAGATTTTAATATTTGTAAACAAAATAAACATGGAATCTCAAACTATTTTTAGAACAAAACTATGAGTCGGTTGGGCTGGCCGGCTGGTGGTTGTCGTCGCTCATACGGTCGCAATAATATTGTTGTTATCGACACTTCATATATTTATGTTATAAAAATAAAAGACGAAAATTTGTGACAATAACAATTAACAATACATTAGAATGGTATAACACAAAATAATGTAATTTAATAGTATAACAAATTAGATACAACATATTTTGATACGGCTGACGGGGGGGGGGGGCGCCCCTACCGCCCCCCCTGGTTCCGCGCCTGATGTACTTACCACGACGATAATACATTGTTATAGCATTCACCAAATATTACTAAATGTGTGCCTTGATTCTATTAATAATTATATTTTTCTATATCTATTTTTTTGACGTAAATAATTCATTTTAGTCGGTCGATTCATTATTTGTTAACATAACACAAAAAATAAAAATAAATGGAAAATAAAATTTTCCAGTAAATTCGGTAAATTGTTCTTTCTCCTTTACGATAAGGTGAGTTAAAATACGAATGAGCTGTGGTGCACAGACGATTTTTGAGAGGACCTGTAATTAAAATTATACACACCCATCTATTTAGTGCCTGACCTATAAGCAGCTACAAAAATGAGAAATAGGAGAGAGCAAAGAACAGACGAACAAATATAATCCGATAATATGAATGTATTGAAAATGTGTGAACACAAGTGTTTCGTGTAGACGGTGGAGCAAAAATAATAAAAAAATACTTAGTTATGTAACACGGATTTTTAACATTTAATTAGTGTATCCGTTTAGAATATAATATGAAAAATAATTTAATCCAGTGCCACATAGTCAGTATATCATATGCCTTAAAATGTTTTTCAACGCATTGTAACAGGACTGTAAAGCCTTTGCCATTGCGTAGCTATAAATAATACGCGAACCATAAGCAAAATGTGCTGTACCGAATCGACGGGAACGACGTGGTAAGCCGATGATCGTGATTTTCGAGTTGTCAGAGCGACGACCGTATACCGCAGTAGACATGGCTCGATATATTGATATTAGAGATGGACAAAATTATTTGAATATCGATTTTCGATGTATAGGGGAATGAACATCGATATGACGATGTTTTTTCGATGTTAATAATGTTAATGATTTACCACTTGCTTTTTGATAAAATATTAGTTAAGATCAAACTTGAAAGCGTTAAAAAAGTTATTAAAATGTAGGAAGGTAAATAAAAATATTAGTGCTGGGTAATACAGCCTAACCTGAGTTATACGAATTTATTTTTCATATTGCTTTTGATTAAAGAGTTATACGTCATAAAAAATCACATTAACAACATTAAAGCTATGATATGAAGTAGGTATTTATTTATAAAAGAAGCAAATAAAGATTAAGTAATATTAATGTTTAATTACATTCAGATTGAAGTGAAATGGATTTATGTTTAAGAACTATTATTCTAAAATGTTAAAAATAAAAGCGCAAATGTTTAGAAAATTTAAATCAATGTTAATTAGTAAAATAACGTCAATCATACAAACGAATTAGTGTTACCATGTTAAAAAAATCGAATCTGGTATCTTGGGAGGGGCTTTGGCCATGGCATGAATAAATATAGAAAGATTTATTCACGTCACTATACATAGTACTATATATTCATTATTCAGAGTATAGGCGTGCTCAGACTGGTGACCGAGGGGGCACAACAATTTTTAAATCATGATACTTATTATTTTTATTTTTTTTTTTAAACATGAATAATAAAAATACATTTAAGACTCAAATAAGTATATTGTACTATTGCTCTGTACTCTACTGAAACCGTTGGTAGGTAATGAGTACAGATTGCATGACATTTTTATCTTGGCATGATTTTGTTGGAGCCACATTCCGCCGAGGGGACCAGTGCCCACCCGGCCCCTCCCTTAAATACGCCTATGATTCAGAGTTAAGTTTGATGCTGAGAGTGTCATCTGTCAGCGGCGTAGCTATGCCGTCGTATTTTTTTGTACATTTTATGAGCTAAAATAGATTTTGTTCGAAATAGTGTGGTGGTAAATTTCATAGCTCGTAATATTATTTCACACTATTTTTCTCAGTTATTCTGAAATATGTATGTACAAAATTACTATTATAACTATTATTTATAATCAATGCTATAAGTAATAAATAGCCGTACAAGCCTCTGCAAATATCGCGAATGTTTGAAAACGCAACAGGACGCGATTTAAAAACATTTTTATTTGTACGAAATACGCACAACGTCAATGTAATATTTTATCTGTGAATTTTTTGGTGTTGAGCATTATATTTTCGCTCGTGTTACGGTCGACATACTATTTTCTAGCCGTTGCATTCCGTGAATTATTTCTTTGGCACAGTTGCCTGCGATCGACGTGAGATGTAACATACTTTTGGGCTCGGGGCCTAAAACTAGGTAATTACGACACCTTGAGTAGTACCTAAAAAAAGCGAAATGTGAAAAAAAAAGCGTATGACAAATATTTTTCAAATTTTCCACACGTAATTGACAAATACAACACGAAGTTGCAAAGCGTTTTATTGGTTAAAATCAGGGCCGTCCCGAAGGAAGGTCTCGGTGGGGTGTCTCACCCCCTCCAACAAAAACACCAGTCGACGGTTGGACTTGTTTCATTATAGCCTAGGACCTAATTTTACTTACGGAAAACAAATATTACATATTTCGTAATACAGTGTATACACGAATAAAATTTATAGAACATAGGTATACATGTTAAAAAGTAAAAATACGACTACATATAGTTAATTATACTACATACATTGAGTAAAAAAATTGTAGTCTACATTTTTTAAATTATTCACCCCTCCCGTTGATTTTTATCTTTGGGACTGCCCGGGTTAGAATATTTATTTCAAATTGTTAATGAATTAATTAAATAGATATTACCTATATGAAATGTTTAAGGAATATTTAAAAAATTAATATAAAACATGTATAAGACGCATTACTAATTGGAACCACAAAAACTGTCACTCATGTATTATACAAATATCGTAAAATTGATTTATACAAAGAAAATAAATTTTCAGAAGGTCAACCCATTTCCATCCGCGCACAAAAGCCAAAAAACGTCTATTAAAATAAAATTGTAGCTAGTGCCTATAGTAGGACAAATTAAAAATTGTATGCCCAATGAATACCGACGATCGGATAGGGATTAACAGGGACTTACATCACGATGTAATTGTATCGTTGTTGTTTATGTAATCGTTTCGGGGAACGAACGGATGCAGTTACGTTTCGGAAAAATTTCGACTCGGGCCGATAGTGTCTTGTCCGAGGAACCTATGGCCGACAGTAGTCAATAATCAGTTGATGCTGAACGTCAAACGCCCCCTCCCAGCGGTTCGAAAACGTTCAAAAACGCGGTTCGTGAAAAAAAACGTACGCGCATTTACCTGCCTACCTATCCGCGTGCGGCCTGCCCACACGACCGGTACGCGCGTCGTATCATCGGTATCAGAATGCGTTTCGAAAGGTCAACGCGCCCGGAATAACACGACCGTCGCGCAACGTTACGTACCGTTGCGAGCCGGTGCGTCCGGTTGAAATACCCTCGGCATTTCGACCGTCGTATGATTACATCCGAACGTGATACCCGCAATGAAAATAACATTCAGTTTCAGTATCCTCCTCGGTGTCTTCGCATAGCGTACCGAAGAGTTGCTCTTTTAATTTTCCATCATCAATTCCGCTTCATTTCAGCAATCGTGTCCGGATCGTTATGGGCATACTATCCGCGGTTACCAAATTGGATGGTCTCGGGACATTGGTGATCATTTGAACGCTTCAACTCGGAACAGTCGACGCCGGAGATCCGAAGTCGCTCCAGTGAATTTTTCGGTGAGTCCTTGATGACACTATAATATAGTAGGTATTTCCAGTTCTCGCAGTTTCTGGATCTTGTTTATGAGTTATTCACTTTCGTCGACAGGTACTACGGCCGCTGAATCTTGTTTGCAGTGTAATACACCAATGGTTTTGATCGGTACCGATCAGAGATGGGTTCATATTGTGTGTTTGTCTACATTGCTGGGTGATGTGTAAATGACATCCAACATTATAGACAACTGAATAACATGTTTGTAACTTAATATTATCGTTTTTTGATCAATCTGTTTGTATTATATGGATCGTTATATCTGATATTTATATTAGGTCTTAAGGCTACTATTATATCAATATTTTATTAGAACATAATGTATATTTAAAATGAAAAAAATTTGATTCAGTATTAAGTACTGGGTGGATTTGATGTACCTAAACAGGGTAATACCTATTTTTCTATTATATAAAATAGTGGTTCTCAATATTTTGATATATTTTTAGTTCCGCTTGAATCACTTAAAATCATTCTTGCTTGAATCACTCAAAAGGATAATATATTGGACTTAATAATTTTTTTTTCCTCATTTCCTCATTGAATATTATCTCAAATATCAATAGAAATTTTTGTTACCTGAATTGGTACAATTACATATAGCCATAATGCCATATTGTCGATGTTTAAAAAATCAGTGGTTAGTGATTGCCATACACTCCATATATAATATTTAAAATTATATTGTTAGTGATTAGTTAATGTTACAGTAAAATTCAGTTATATTTCTGATTGCTTCTTATATTTATTTTTATAACAATAGAAGTCTGTTAGAAAATGTGTCATGATGTTACTTCATTTGTTGTATGTAGGTATGCATATAATATAAAAATTTAAAATTTTTCTTGGGACTAAATTACTTTTTATAATAAATGATAAGAAAAAAAAAGTTATTAAATAGCAAAGATTGTTTTCCAATATTTTTAAATGTGACATTTTAAACTGTATGGAACTTTATAATATAAATTTTTTGTAGAAGTATTTAAAAAAATATACTTTGAATAATTTAAATAAGTAGTACCTATCTACTATTTTTTTTTCATTAATATTCTGGGCATATATTTTATAACTTAAAATCTCGATTTGCTGTACATTTAAAATATTTACAATATTTAAAAAAAATAAAATACAATTTAGTTTACCTAGTTATAACATTTTGCCTTTGGTTTGCTGATTGTTTTACATATATCCAAATCGTAAAATTGTATTTCTATGTATGCTCAATGTAATACTTAATTACATGTTAAGTATATGTTTAGTAAATATAGTTTAAAAAAATTAATTTATTCCATAAAAGTGTATGTATGAACAAGTATACTTACAGCCAAGGCTGGCTTTTAGATACGATTGACGCGTGCGACGGCACAGGGCACCAAAATTGGAAGGGTGCGTGAGAGACGTCAAAATTAGAATTGAATTTGATCAATTGTTGGCCACCCAAATTATCTACTGTAGATAAAAAAAAAAAAAAATTCATGAAATGATTCAATAGAAATTTGATTATTTTATTTATAACCAACATCATTTATTATTCTATTGACATGCGAGGATTGGCCGCTCTTGTAGATACAATTACAGTTTTATAAACTATCACTATATTATCACAATATTATACTTATATACTTATGTTTGTTCTACGAATGATTTACAAATTTTCACGTTTAAAAAATTATTTGAGCATTTTTTTACTATGAATGAGGCTTAGGTTACAATATGTATTATGAGGCCCCTCAGCTCCCAAAATTCTGCCTGTTTAAGTTATATGTCTAAGTCGTGTAAGATGGAGGATTGCCAAAATAATTCTTGCACTGAGCGCTGATAGAGCTAAAGCCGGCCATTCTTACAGCATTCTAACATCGTTAAATATTGCAATATACTTTATAATATTATTGACTTTTGGCAGTGTATAATTTTTAATAAAATTTATTACTTAATTTTTGAGCGATTTCAAGTTTACAATTATTTAATAAATTAATTTATCAACATCTTATTAAATTAATATTGTTAAATATCCTAGATATGACAAATCATTATTTAAGGCTTTCGAAGTACTAACATTTTTAATAGATAATTATAAAACAAAATTTAATCATTTTTGAAAAAAACTTTTAATATATAGCAAAATTAATAAATTTATCATAGTTTAATTTTTAATTGTATAACATTAATAAAAATAAAATAAATATAATGTTAAACTATTAAATCAATAATTATTTTTTTCTTGAAGAATAAATAATAATGTAATTTGTATTATTAAAATATAATTTAAGTATTGACTTTTGAGATTATTTCTAGAATATTTTATAAATAAACTAACAATACAATTGCAAACTTTTTTTAGAAATTGGAAATACATTTTTTGAATAGTCAAATCTGTTTTAAAAAAATGATTCATCTTCATCAAACTATAAAGAAAGTACTTATATTCATTAATATTTAACTTTTAAAAAAATATAAAAACAAAGTAATAACTTAATATTATTTTTCACATTTGTTTTTTATTCAGATTAAAATAAATATTTTTTTTGAATAGGTATTAAATATAGATTTATAGACTTTTATAGTTATTTTTTTTTCTCTTATGAAAAGTTAGTATAATGAAGTTTATGTTGGTTTGATTCTGAGGTACAGATTTACACAATTATCATTTTAAATTTGATTACATATAACTGATAACTGATTATATATATAGCCTGTTTTTTTAATTTGCAGTGGTTTTTTTGAAATTAGTAGTAGTTGTTGGATGATTATTATTTTGGTAATTTAAAGTTTTGTTATAACTCAATATAGTTTTTGGTATTTTGTCATGACAATTGTTATTATTATTGTTTTATTTACTTTTGATTAATATGTGATAGTTATTAGACATGAAAAATATGTATAAGATATGAAAACATTTCGCAGGGAAATCAATAATTATACATGGTCACTTGTTTATTACAATAATTATATGTAGATGAAACTGAATTAATAAGTTCAGAACAATATGATTAACAACAATAATTATATTGATAATGCTATAAAAGTAACAATAACACTTGCTAGTGGCTTTCATCTGTTTTATCTTTTAATTTATTTTTTAAATAATACTTGTCTAATACAAATCTTATTATTTTTATTACTTTAATTGTATTAATGAACCATGCAATATTTTATTTTTAAGAATAATTATTTCTCTTATACATAATATATTAATATTTAATGCTTTGTTCATAAACTAGTAATAAACTTTATGTGTAAAATTCATGAATTGAACAAAAAAAAAAAAAAAAGATAACAATTTCTTGTTTTGTGAAACACAAATAGGGTGTAACATGTATTTAAATAATTAATATGAAAACAATGTATATTTTTGTAATTTGTGTTATTTATACTTGTCTATTATTTAAAAAAACTATTTTATTAAAATGTTATTTAACTGAAAATATAAAATATAGATATTAGTACATAAAAATTTCAAATTTGTCAAAATAAATAGCATAATTTAGGTAAAGACAAATAATGAAAGTAAGTTAATTAAATAATTATAATTTAATATTATAAATTATGAATGAAAATAACTTATATTTTGAAAAAATTAATTTATTAAGTTGAATACAAAAAATTTGATTATAAGTTCAATATACCGTAAGTTATATGTTATGATAATATGTAATAATAATTATTAGAGTTATGTAATAATTTTATATTTTATTTTCAAACAGTATATTGTTGATGAATTGGTATATGTATATGTAATATATAATATTTTCTGTAAAAAGGATTATAATTTGGGAATATATCTTTACAGAATTGGCAAATTAATCAGTTATATGTACTAAAGTTATGTAATTTGGGTATAATTGCCAATTGTAATGATTAATAAATCACTGCATTTTCTATTAACTTAAAAAAATTAGGTATTTCAATTTGATGTGTAAAATATAACTAATTTAAAACTTGTTTCAGATTTTTGAACTGCTTAAGTAACGGAATGCCATGTCGGAAACTGTGACTGATGTAATTTTTAAATCAGGTAACATAGAATATTAATAAATTTTTTAACTTTAATCTTTATTACTATCTTTTATTTTAGGCGATAATCGACTGAGACAGTTGGAAGCATTATTCTTAGGAGGTCCAATTCAAGGACAAGGAAAATGTTTCAGCATTGAAACCCTTTTGGATGTTTTACTCGTACTGTACGATGAATGCAATAATTCATCTTTACGCAGAGAAAAGACCGTTTCAGATTTTATAGAATTTGGTATGCACTCTAATATTAAAAAAGTTATTTAACATATTGAATGTTATTGGTAAAAAAAAAAAAATAAATACTATTTCTTAATTTTATAAGTATAAAAATTGTTTTTATTTTTATGGACAGAATTGTTGTATTCTTTCAAATGTTGTATTATAAAATGTAAAGTATTTCATGAATAATATTTTAATTATGTGTTTCATTTACAACTTTAGTAAAACCTGTGGCAACATGTGTTAAGTCCTTGCGTTTGACTAGAGATGACTTTGAGACTATTAAGGTAATTGGTCGTGGTGCTTTTGGAGAAGTATGTGTTGTGCACATGAAAGGAACAGATAAAGTTTATGCGATGAAAATTCTTAATAAATGGGAGATGCTCAAAAGAGCAGAAACAGCATGTTTTCAAGTAAATTCATACTTTTTGTATCGATACAACTTTAAAAATGTTTATCATATATAAATAAATATTTATATTATGTTGTATATTTAGGAAGAAAGAGATGTTTTAGTATATGGTGACCGTAGATGGATAACTAATTTGCATTATGCTTTTCAAGACGAAACAAATCTGGTAAAATATCTTATATTTTATGTTTATTTTATAATATAAAGAAAATATTATAGTGTGACTTTATATCCAAGAACTTAACTATTTAATATTTTTAAATTTTCCTATCTCTAAAATTATGATATTAAAATAATGATATTATGAATTATTTTGCTTTTAATAAGGAATCAAAATACTTGTATCTGATCCATTTTTATTTTAATTTTTTTGTATTAAAATTATCAATTAATAATAATCTTTTATGTATCTTTTTATTAACATAACATTTCAACTTACTTATTTTAAATTATATGTGTTGGATTACATTAGTTTTAATTAAAACTTTTCAGTATCTAGTTATGGATTATTATTGTGGAGGAGATTTATTAACATTATTGAGCAAATTTTTTGATCGTCTTCCTGAAGATATGGCCAGATTCTATATAGCAGAAATGATTTTAGCTATAAATTCAATCCATGATTTACATTATGTGCATCGGTATGTTAATACGAGTAAAATAATATATATAAAATAAACTTAAAAATAATTATTAAATAAATAAATTTAATATAGTATCAATTTACGAAATATCTAAACAAATTATGATGTGATTCTTTAATAATGTATTACAACAAATAATAAATAACAAATAACAAAAATATCACAACAAATCTTTACCATTAAATAATGACACAGTTCGATATAACTTTGTTGAAGTGAGAGTGTCATAAAGTATGAGAGTCTCCAATATAAAATATGCGGTCGTTCTGGGTTTTAAACTTGCAGCCCTGTGCTCGAAAGTCGTGCAATCACTGAGTCAATCACTGCGGATAATTGTTGTAATTTTAGACCTATGTAGTTGATGGAGGATATTTGCATTGTTCAGCTGAGGAGAGATAATGCACTTTGTCAATATTATTAATACTGTTAAACTCACATATGAACCCAATTAAAATCAACTTAGTGACTTGAATAAACCATTAATATATATTTTAAAGGCAAAACATAGACTTAAAGACATACTACAATATTATGCATATAGTTTGCATTGTTACCGTCTAATAGATGATAACGCTGACATTGGTTTAATTGTTTCAAGTTTAATGATGCCAATAATACATTTTTATAATTTATTTTAATAATTATTAATTGGAAATAAGTTGAATTTTAAAGTTATACAACTTCAACATTGGAAATCAATCAATTTTAGAAAAATGTATGTATCTTGTCCAGTCGCTTACACAGAGGGATTAAGGGTTCAACCCCCCTCCTGAAATTCAGAAAAATTATCAATATGTTTTTATAAAGAAAAAATGGTTTATAGATTATATAAGTATGAAAATGTACAACTTAAAATCTCCCCCTACCCCAAAAAAAAAAATTTTTTTTGTGTACGCAACTGGTCTTGTTTTTTATATCAGATAAAGTTTTTTTTTATAAATTGTAGAATACATAGGAAAAATTTATATTGTATTTGATGTTAGTTATAATTATTTTTAAGGATATATGTAATAGTCGTAAACAGTATTTAATATCTCATGTTTAGTAAATATTAAATTTATTATATTAAGTTAATATATTTTAATTTTATTAGCATGAGATGATTGTTAAATTTGAATTTTAGTATACATTATATATTTAATTTACAGAGATATTAAACCAGATAATGTACTATTGGATGCTAATGGTCATATACGATTAGCAGATTTTGGATCGTGTTTAAAAGTGGGTTCAAATGGCTTTGTTGAGAGCAATGTTGCTGTTGGTACACCAGATTATATATCTCCCGAAATACTGCAAGCTATTGAAGATGGACAAGGTTGTTATGGACGTGAATGTGATTGGTGGTCATTGGGAGTATGTATGTATGAAATGATATATGGAGAAACTCCATTTTATGCTGAATCTCTCGTTCATACTTATGCTAAAATAATGAATCACAAGGTTGGTATATTATGTGTTTTAATAATTTGCTTAATAATATATCAATATTAACTTTCAATATGTTCTTATCTCATTTTTTGTTATCATTTATCTTAAGCTTGAAATCATTTTTTATACAAACCATAGTATAATTATTTTTTGTAAATGGTAAAAGTATTTACAATTATGTAAAAAATTAAAATTAAAAAAATTATTAGTTATCCATCCATTGTTCAAATATATATTTAAATATGTATAAAATTTTAAAATTGTATTATTTATATGTATATGTTTATCTATGATACTCACTATAAGGTTTCTGGGAATTTGAGTAAATTAAAAATATTCATAAATATATTTTGGTATTTCATTATATAAATTGGTTTTAAATTCTTAGTTTATTTAAATTCAAAATTGTAAAACATATACATATATATAAATCTTAACTGTTTTTAATCTCTAATTTTTTTTTTTTTTTTTTTTTAATTTAATATTACATTAAATTATAGTTTTTTTTCATGCAGTAGAAAATTAATATTACTAATATTTTAGCAATTGTGAAAATTATAAAATATATGTTTGTTTGACTATTCATACTTTTTAGAATTGTTTTGACTTCCCAAATGATCCAGAAATACAAGTTTCTGAAGAAGCTAAAGATCTAATGAAAAAACTTATTTGCAGTGCTGACCAAAGACTTGGTCAAACTGGTATTAAAGATTTCAAAGTAAGCTAAATATTTTATTTTCATATCAATTTGAATTTTTTTTAAAAAATGTAAAACTATTTTCTAGGAACATAATTGGTTTATTGGTGTAGATTGGGAAACTATCAGAGATAGTGTCGCACCATATATTCCTGAAGTGTCTAGTCCTACTGATACAAGTCATTTTGATGTTGAAGAAATTGATATTAAAACTGATATTTTCCCTCCTACTCCATCTAATCCTATATTTTCTGCCCTTCATTTACCTTTTATTGGATTTTCATTTACTCAAAATAGTTTTGTATCAGATCTTGGATCTATTGGAAAATCACTTTCCTCAGGAAAAACAACTAAACGAATGAGATCACAAGAAGAAAAAACTGAAGTTGAAGGTGACAATTATTTGATTTGATGTAAATACAATTTAATTTCTATAACTTTTATTTAAATTGTTTAATTTACTTATTAAGACTCTGAAGATCAACTGAAGAAATATAAAGAGAATAAAATCACTCATAATACTTCTATTGGTGACGAAAAAGAATTAGATATTATTATAAAAAAATTTCAACAAGAAAAAGAAGAACTACAAAAGGTTAGTTTCGTATAATTATAACAAATATTTTAAAATCTTAAAATTGTGTTTAATGGTATATCTTGTTAATATTAATTAGGTACTATAAAACATTAATTTTTTCTTTTCTTTTGTATTGTATTTTTACATTTGTTAGAATTAATAATTATTTTATCATAAATAGAAAAAAAAAAAATGAAAAATTGTGGATGTATTTAAAATGAATATAAATTTATTTTTTAAAATTTATTATTAAAATATGAATTACCTTTATAATGTATATTAAAGTTTATTTTTCAAGTTTATTTGAAAAATAAAAAATATTAAAAAATTTAAAAAACACAAAGATGCATAATATACATATTTGTTTTATTGTGTTATTGTGCACGTTTTTGTTTTATAGATTACATATTTTAAATTGTTTTCATAAAAAAATATATAAACGAGTATTATAATAACATGGTCATTGTTTTTTTTTTTTTAGGAAAAACAAGAAACACAAGAAAAACTTAAAGCTCAAGAAATTGAATTAATGGATGCTTTGGGACAAAAAAATAGTGCTATGACTGAATATGGGCATGTTACTAATAAGTAAGTAATTTATAATTCTTTAGTTTTAGAATAATTTTTAATTTAATTTAATTTGCTAACAGCCTATTATAGCTTGTTAAATGAGATTCTGGTATGACCAAAGATTCTGTAGTTATTTTTATTCTTTTTACCTATATTATTGATAAAATTATTAAATAATATTTTTTATAAATTGTTATGATATTAATTAAAAATTTTTCTGGTAAATATTTTATAATTTATCGATTCTAATTTATTTATTTCTTATCAGTATTTTATTCCACTTAATTTTATCATTTATCTTTATTTGATTTTAAATGACTCAAAAATCATAGTCATGTTTGACTTATGTTTTTTTTAATTTAAAATTTCACATAATATACAAACATAAAAATAAAAACTGTACACGATGGAGTTAAATTATTTTATAAATATTTTCATAATATTGTCAATCTATATTTAAGTGTCAAATGCATTGATTAAAAATGTTTTGTCTCATATAACTTCTAATAATGTACTCTAGTGGTCATCAAATGGTAGCCTGCTGATAAATTTTATCAGACTTGCAGATAAGGAAAAAAAGTAAAATTTCCTTTATTCTTTACTGATGGAAACAGATATTATACTTGTTGCCAAGCATATCTTATTACTTATAACTTAAAGTTTAAATAAGTGACCATCTATGGAATGTGCTGATAACATCTCAACAACAGCTCGTCAATTATAGTCGACCTGCATTGACTTAATTCCTGTTGAGTTACCTTTTTACTTGCTTCGTTTTAATGTTTTTTTTTTATTTTTTTTTTTTTGTTATATGATTATGGATAAAAAAACAGTTGAATTTGTAATCAGTTTTTGCCTTAATTTACGGAAGGAATTATATTATTTTATTTACCCAACCGCTCAGGAGCCTTGTCAGTTTGATTTACCAACTGACTTAGCTGTTTTTTAATGATTTCAATATTTAAAGTCATTATGAGATTAAATATATTTAATTGGTCTAACATTTTTTTTTAGAAGTACATTGTACTCTATTACATTGAAACAGTAATGTTGTAGGGATTTTTTATATTTATATTAATAATTATATAAAAAATAATCCAATTTTTATGTATAATTTGAAATAGAAATATATTGTGTGATTTAATTCTTCAATTTCCTTAATTTTTATTTCATATTTGTACCATAAGTAAATTCGGTAACAGTTTAATATGTTAATAAAATAAATAAAAAGATTTATTAAATTAAAAAAATAAAATAATAGTTTTTGTACTTGTATGCTTGTATATTTGTGTACAAATGTAAACATTTAAAATGAAAACATTTTAATCATTAATCAAATTAAATTAAGAAAAAGAATAAACAATTTCTATATTTGATTAACTTAAGAATCATACATCATACAATTTTCATTTAATTACTTAGAATAAAAAAAAAAGACCTACTTTTTAAAGATTGTAAAATCATGCTATTTGTAACTATAAAATTACTCTTGTTATTGGTAGATTATCTGAGCTTAGACAGCATAAACAAAAACTCTCTAGACTGGTTAGAGATAAAGAAGAAGAGTTAGAAGAAGCCATGTCTAAAATAGACGTATTACGTCAAGAAGTTCGTCGTTCAGAAAAAGTTCGAAGAGAACTAGAGAGTAGATTAGAAGAATCTAAAGCTGAAGTTATAAATGAACGTAAATTACGAGAAAAAAATGAAGAAATGTGTCATCAAGTACATAAATTAATATAATAATTACAATTTGTTATTTAAAAATCAAATTATTTTTCTAGTATAAAATTGAAATTGAAAGATCAAATCCATCATATTCTGAAAATGCTTTTGAAACTAATGAAAATTCTAACCAAAGAGCAATGCAAGAAATAATTCGGTATGTTTCATGTTTTAAAAATATTACATTTTATAAAGTATTTCATTTATAATTTTTAATGGTATTAAAGCTTGAATCTAAATTTAATATTTTAAAACAAAATTAAAAAAACTACATCAATTCAAATTTTTTTATGAATTAAGGAAAATCTATTTTCCTGAATAAATTTATTTGGGATAATTATATAAATTAATACTTTAAATTATATTTTAAAAAAGATCTTGATTAATAAAAAAAACTTATCTTGAAAGAAAATCATATTAAAATGTATCATAAGTTATGTTATGAATATTGTTCTGGTAAAGCAAGAAGATTATCTAAAGTAGACAATTTTTAATTCCATTTAATTTGATATACTGTTTTATTATTCATTAAAGTGTCATATATTTGAATAAAATTCATTAACTAAGAAGAAAGTGGATATTGGTTTAGTATTTTATGCATACATAAGCTATAGGATCATATAAATTGTATCATCAATCTTTTTTAAAATAAATATATCTAAAATTCCTATACAATATCAATGATGATTAACAATGGGATTATATTATCATAAAAACTCATAAAAATTCTTCTTAACAAACTATCTAATTTTTTGTAATTCTTAAAAATATTAATCAACTAGATTGAAGGCAGAAATAGAAAGATTAGAATTAGAATATAATGAAAACATCAGCAAGGAACAAGCAAAATACAATATGGAAACAAATAAATTGAAAGATCAAATTTTTGAAAATGAGGTCAATCAAAAAACATTAGAAAAAGAAGTAAGTTATCTTATTTACATATTTTCATCAATTTTGAGGTATTATTCAATAATTGTTTGGATTCCAACATGTTTACTTTGATATGTTAATGCACAAATTATTTATTTAAAAACCTGTCTTATCTTCAAATTATATATAAATTTAAATAAAGTATCATTTATGTAATATATTTGAATATTAAAAGTATTTTAAGCCATATTTTTAAATCAGACTCTTTTAATTAATATGTATTATAAATACTAATTTTTTTAGAAAAAAGAGAGTAATGATATTTTGCGATCTATCGAATTTGAACATAAAAGATTGAAAGATGAATTACACTTAAAAAAGCAGACAATAAATCAATTGGAATCTCAAATTTCTGACATAATTCAATGGTAATTAAAGTTTATTTTTATTACATTTTCATATATTTTATGAATATTATATCTTTAGGATAAGTGATGAAAAAGATGCTCGAGGTTATTTGCAAGTGCTAGCAGCAAAAATGAAAGAAGAATTAGAATATTTGAAACAATGTCCAACTAATAATGGGCAATCAGCATTGGTAAGAATAAAACTAGTATAATGTTTAATTGTTACGTATTTCACAATTTTATAATATGTTTATTTATTGTTAAATTATCATTATTGCTAATAAACCATTTTAAATTGAGCTATTTATACACTGGGCATTCATTTACATTTTAGATATTGATCTGTAAATTAATGCTTTAAAATAAAAATTAAATAACTTGATATTTTTATTCTAATAATTATCTCAAATGAGCTGGTGCTAAATATAAAATCATCTATGTAGTAAATAATATTGTGTTTGTAATACAATTTTTAATTTTTTACCATAGATAAATTATAAAATATGAAGTTAATAATATTTTTAATTAAAAAAAAAAAATTTGTTCAATTATTAATTAATTATTAATTCAATTTTATCGAGTAGTTTTAAGTTGTTTAATTTTTTTTCCTTGAAACTGTTTTTATTAGAGATATAATATGTTATTTTATGAATTATTTTAATTTTATTGATTTTTTCAATGCAATATTTTTATATTTATAAATGAAATAAGTCACAAATTTAAATACTTAATATTTTTCTTATTATCATATTTATATTTGTATTTGGGTTTATATATTTATATTTATAATGAATTTATTCCCTTGAGTAATAGAATAAAATATTTTAACGGTGTTTTTAGGACAATAGTTGGAGAAATAGAAGAAGTCAAAAACTTGATAAAATGGAACTTTTAAATCTTCAAAGTTCTTTGCAATCGGAAATTCAAGCTAAACAATCAATTGGTGAAGAGTTGAGCAAAACACGATCAGAATTAATTGCAATGCAAAAGTATGATTATAATATATAAATAAAAAAAGGAAATGATTTTGTACAGTGGCGTAATTTCAGTGTTTTCTAAAGTATGGTATTCAAGCTTGTTCTTATTAAATTACTGACTCGGCAGCTAATTTTACCAAAGTGCTGATTAACGTAGGAAAAGGGAGATGTCCAACCAGTAAAAAAATATAATGATTTGTTCTTTTAATCTTATGTACATTAGTAGATACCCATATAGTGCACGTCTTATTTTCTAATTTCTAACATGTCAGTAGCTTTATAAAAGAGGTATTTATATTTTGATGATGAGCCGACTTTGGAATAACTGAACTCTGGGCTGTGTAAATGTATGAGTCCCCCCCCCTCATGGTGTTAAAGGTTTCGTTAAATCACGTGAAATGAACATTTTTTAATGAAATTATAAATAATAAAAGTATAAACTATTTTTTTACTTCTTTTGAGTTACTAGTGAACTTCTATAAAAATTGTTTTTTTTTAAAAAAAAAAAAAATTTCTTACGTTATTTGATTATTTAAAATATCGGAAAGTATTACAATTCGTGTATTGTAAATTCTGAATGAGCGAGCTTGATTTAATTTTGTGCCAAAGTACTTACTGAAAGTGAGTACCAAATTTAATATTATAATTGTGTTATATTATATTATAATTATTAAAACATTATAAAATCATTCATAATTTAATTTATTTTAATTTATAATAAATTAATAAATATTAAAAATTAATTTTATTGATTTTATTTTAATTTATTTATTTTTAGGGAATTGAGAGAATTTCATCAACGATATGAAACATTAGTTTATAATATGAAAGATAAAGATGATGTGATAAAAGAATTACAGAATCAATTGGATGCTAGGCAGTCTTGTAAGTAAAAATATTTAAATTTTATTACCTTTATAGTGTTATATGTCGGTGTAGTGTAGTCTAGTTAATATTTTGGCTTATATTCCCCACACATAAAAATAAGTAAGTGTAGATTTTTTTAGTTTTTTTTTATTTATAAATTATCTCTTTTTTTTTTCTATTGAAAACATAATTTTGTAATTTTATTATTTTTATTTAAGTCAAATACTCTTATATCTCTTAAAAATCAATTCAATGAGATTGTTGTTTAAGATTAATTTTTTTATATAAAAAATGTTTATTGTGAAATTGGGTAAAATAATCAACCTTTAATAATTGTTCTTAACTCATTATTTTAAAAGTTTATGCAGTGCTTTTTTTGTTTATTATGCTGTTTACTAATAATTGTTACATTTAAATTTTAATCATTTAGTATATTTTAAGCCTTCCAAGTAAATTATTTATGTGCTGTCACTAGTTTTTATACTATACAATGTAATATAATATAGTATTGCATTTTTGGTAAATATTTTAGGTATGTAAATTTAATCATATTAAATTTTTTAACGATCATTAAATATACTTAGTTCTAAACATATAAATTATTATTTAGGACGTTTATAAAGATAAAAGTTAGTTTTGTCATTTATTTAGCTTTCCTTTAATTGTTTTTTTAAGTTTTAAGAATAAATATTTGCAAGAACTTAAATAATACAGTTTTACAATGAATGTAATTGTCATAATAACATTTATAAATGTTGTGAAATAATTGTTACATTCATAAAATAATAACTATCTATTTAGATTAGTAGTGTAGTTTATGCGATAGTAACTTAAGATTTATGAATTTATAAAAATTTAAAATTTAGCATTTTTATGATCATAGATATTGAACGACAAAATATTTTTTAGAATAATGTACATTTTTTGTATTTTTTCATATTGAGCTAGCCTAAAAGTTTTTAAAAAATTATCAAAAATTGTATGTAACTTTTTATTATCTTGAAATTATATATTTAAATGAATGTATTCTTTATATAATTGAAAAAATGTTAAATTAGTGAATATATAAGAAAATAAGTAATCTATGTGCTTTAATAAAATTTAAAAGGATAAAACTTACCTAATTATTTAATTTGTTATATTTTATTTATCATTAAAACTTTGCATAGTTCAAGTATATTTTTGTATATTATAAAAATTGTTAAAAAATTATTAAGAATTGTCTTATCTACTTATTATATACTACAAGACCATTTTTTAAATTATTTTTATTAGTATACGTTAATTATTATGATTTTCTCAACCATCATACTTTCCTCAGCAATAAGTTTTGGTTTTAGGTTTTATCGTTTTAAGTAGGAAGTTTGAAATATTGGTAGGTTTAATAATTATTAGTAGATATATAATTAAATAGATTTAATAATATATTAGATAAATCAATAATAGAATACAAAATAATGTTTTTAAGTATTATATCTAAATACATTAATGCATAATAAGAACATTTTTGCAGGGGTTAAACATTAATTGATTTAATATTAATTAATATTTTATAAACTTATTTCTAAAATTTTTTCAAATAAATATATTATAAATATAATTTAAATATTTAAATATATTATATATATGTATTTAAATATTTACATTAATTTCAAATATATTTTACATAAATTAAAATATAATAATTATTATTATGTATTATATAAATAAATAAACAAATGATTTATACATAGAAATAAATAAAGTATTATTATATTTCTAAAATATGACTGGCTTTGAATTAAAAATTCATTACCAGATACACAAAGTTAATAATATTGCGACATAATATGAAAAAATAAAATTGTAATCATATTTAATTAACACAACTTTTATTTTTTTATATTAAGTTGCAATTTTATGAACTTTGTTACCTGTTGATGAATTTTTAATTTGAATCTGGTCCTTCTTTACAAATAAATTTATACTCTATGCTAAGCTATTAATTATTTATTTCTATATGCAAACTATTTTTTTATTATATATTAATTTACAAGTATTAACTATTTATTCATTTTTTGTTATTATTTTATTATTTACTATTATTTATTTTTTGTAGTACTCTGTATATGATTATAAATGAATTAAGAATTATATTATACTTACATTGATACCATATTATTTGATTCAAGATCCACAGCCTAATATATCAGACTAATATTTATTTTTTATGTATAAAAATTAAGTTCATTGTATTCATTGCTTTATCTGTAGCAATACAATTTAAAAACTATTAGAATAATTTTAAATTATTAAAATTTAATATATTTTGGGAACATTTTCAAATGTTGAATACTACTCTTAGTATTTAATTGTAATTTAAAATGAATAGTTACATTTTGTTAAATTTAATGTTGTCTGCAGATTTATTACAGTTATTGAAAACAATTTTTTGTTAATAATCTGTAAAATGTTATAATTGTAATTAGTTGTCTTTTTTATAACCATTATAATCATTATTATAATTTGTTTTATTTAATTAGGCAAGTTGCCTTTGTATATTGGATTATCAAGTTGTGTTTGGGGGCTCGTCATTATTTTGTTTCAATACTATTTCTGACTAGAACTTCTTTTGTCAATAGGTTCGTAATAATAAGATAAATGTGTGAACAAATCTTGCTCTTAACCTTAACATTAGTGTTTTATTAACATTAAAGAAGTTTGAAGGTGGTTTCCTAATATTTTATTGTGTCCTTTATATTGTTATGTTAATGATATCTATAGTTGTTAAATTTGAGTTATTGCTAGTCTTGTGTGTAATATGTTTATTAAATATATATTTTATATTAACATATTATGTGTTAACTGTTAAGTTACAGTGTATTTAGATTCAATGTGTGTCATAGAGTTTATGTACCTAACAATTTTTTTAGTACTTTAGTAATTTTAATAAAACAAAATATATTAAAATTGATAATTTCAACTAATGTAAAAATAGTAATTTATTCAATCTTTTCAAATAATAAACAAAATATGTAAATAAAGAGATAAATTACTTTAATATATATACATATTAGGGAACTATTCAATTATTTATTTATGAGTTCTATAAATATAATTTTATATTTTTGTCTTCATTTATTAATATTATATAGTATTATTTTTTCTAAATACTTTTTTAGATTTCTTTGATAATTTAAATGTATTAACAATTAAAATGTTTGATAGATTATAAAGTATAAATACATTTTCAGAAATTTTATTTAAACTATTTTAGATACTTAATAATTAATAATATAGTATAAAACATATTAATATTTAATGAATAAATAATTTGTATAAACCTTTATTCTAAATTAACGCAATAAATTTACAATAAAAATTGAATTGACATTACATGATTTAAATTATAATTATATATTTATCTTTTTTTAATGATTGTGTTATTAAATTACCAGTTTTTATTTTGACTAAATCTAGCATTTAAATAAAATATTTGTTTTGTTTATTTTTGTAATTATAATTTTATTATTTTCAGTTTTAGGTCAAACTTCATGCTCTCCACTATCCTATTTTGATCACTTTTTAAATGAATCTGCAACTGGAAATAGTAATAAATCAAATTTAAATGACAGTGTTGATAGTTATGATAGAAGTTTTGATGATAATAAAGCATTGTCATTGTCAATTAGAAAGTCCAGCTTTTCAGATTTCAATAATTCAGTTAATGTTTGTTATTATATTTTATTGTTTTTATTATATTTTTAATATTTAATATTTTTTTTATTCTAGAATCCTAACAGTTTAATAAACGAAAAAGGAAAATGTCATCAGTTTATTGTTAGAACTTTTTCATCTCCAACCAAATGTAATCACTGTACATCATTAATGGTTGGTCTTGTACGTCAAGGTGTAATATGCGAAGTGTGTGGATTCGTGTGTCACACAATTTGTTCTGATAAAGTTCCTTTGCTTTGTCCAGTGCCAGCAGATCAAAGTATTTATTAATTGTCATTTGTTTTTAAATAAAATAGAAATGTGTTTAATTAAATATGAAATTATTATTTTAGCGAAACGACCTTTAGGAATTGACCCTACTCGTGGTATAGGTACTGCTTATGAAGGCTATGTGAAAGTGCCAAGATCTGGTGGTGTTAAAAAAGGATGGGTGAGGCAATTTGTGGTAGTATGCGATTTCAAATTATTTCTATATGATATTTCGCAAGATCGTAATGCATTACCTGCGGTAACAGTATCACAAGTGTTAGATATGCGTGATCCAGAGTTTGCAGTTTCTTCTGTTAGAGAGTCTGATGTCATTCATGCTGGAAAAAAAGATATACCTTGTATATTTCGTGTACGTTTTAAATTGATTATTGAATATTGTACAAATTAATTGATTTGATTATATTTTATAGAATATATAAATAAATAGTTTATATTAAAAAATAAATAGATAAACAAATAAATGCTTAAAATGGAGTATTATTTCGGCTATGCAAAGTTAATAAAATTGCGACTCTTATTGGCTGTATATACCTGATGATAAATTTTTAATTCGAAACTGGTTATACATTATAAATATAATAATACTCAAGGCTAAGCATTAATTTATTTATTTTTATTTATAAACCATTTATTTATAAATTCATTTACAACTATTAAAATTAATTAACTTTTCTTTTATTTTATTACTTTATTAAATACTTTGTAGATTACCACATCACTTTTGGACCCACCTGGAGTAAAAAATCAAACACTAATGTTAGCTGATACAGAAAGTGAAAAAAATAAATGGATTGTTGCTTTAAGCGAATTGCATAGAATATTGAAACGGAATAATTTACCAAATATGACGGTAGTAAGAGTTCAAAAAACACTATATCAATTTTAGTTATTGTTTAAAATAATTTTTTTTTGTTTTATTTATTTAAAAATATTACTTAAATTTTAGTTATTATTCAAATTTTTTTTTTTTTTTTTATTCAGATATTTAAAGCAAAAGAACTTCTAGATAATACAATTACCATTACTAAAAATGCTATGGCAAGTGCTGTTATTGATCCTGATCGTTTAGTAATTGGTACAGAAGATGGTTTATATTGTATAGATTTAGATCAATTAGGTATGTATTAAAAAAAATCTGGGTTTTCGTTAGGTGTATCTACACTCTGGAGTTTAACATGCTATTAACTAATTACACAAATTAATTTACAATATAAATATACTCTTACCTAAAGTTAATAAATTGATTTTCTTAAAACTGCTCAAATAATGAAATATAAAACTGATCTACACCAGTTCTTAATAAATTTTCTTTTAAGGAAACTCATAGGCACCACATGGGTTCTTATTTTATAAAAATTATTTTTGGGAAGATGCCATAAATAAAATAATTTGATAGATATTATACTGAATATAGCTAAAATGTATATATTTTTAATAATACATTTATCTATAATAATATTTGTAATTTATTATTGACTTAGAAATTGCCAGAATTGGAGAAGCAAAAAAAATTTATCAAATAGACTACATAACAGAAGAGCAGCTTATTATTGTGTTGTCTGGTAAACAAAGACAAGTTCGTTTAATTCCTGTACGGGCTTTAGATGGTGATGAAGTTGAATGGGTTAAAGTTGTTGAAAGTAAAGGCTGTATTACATTTTGCACTGGTTTGATGAAAAAATATCCTGGAATGACTAATCTTCAATATTGTTTATGTATAGCTGTAAAAAGACAGGTAAAATGATTTGCTATTTAACATAATTTAAATTATAATAAAATGTATTAATTGACATTGTAGAATACTTCTCAGGTCATAATTTATGAAGTAACCAGGACTAAACTAAGGCATAGACGACTAAGGGAAATAATGCTTCCCTCTCAAGCTCAAAGTTTGACAATATTTACTGATGGACGACTGTGTGTTGGCTATCACTCTGGTTTTAGTGTATACCATATAACTGGAGATCATCATCCGATTTGTAAAATTTTAATTTATGTTATATTACTAAATGTGTTTGCTTATATATGGTAATTAATTTTGTAGCTTTGGTGCACCCCGATAATCATATGATGGGTTTTTTATCATATTCTGCAATGGATGCTATAAAAGCAATTGAACTACCCAGAGGAGAGTTTTTACTTATTTTTCAATCGTTAGGTATTTATGTAGATTCTCAAGGTCGAAAATCTAGAGACAGAGAAATCATGTATCCTAGTGACCTTATTGATGCTAGTAAGTATTATTATTTTCAAATAATTATTTATTTATTTTTGATTTATTTTATACTAATAATATTTTTTAATTTATGTAGGTTATTGTGATGGTCATTTATTAATATATAGCGACACACATATAAATATATTCAATGCTGATAGTGGTGATTGGATTCAGACTTTAAATTTACGAAATTCACATCCTATTAATAATACAGGCTCTTTGACTGTTTGTTTTATTGATGATTTGCCATGTATTGTATACTTATCCAATGTACACCAAAGTATGCTGATAATAATATAAATATGTATTTATTTAATTTTCTGTATACATTTTCACTATTTTTATCAGGAGAACTTATTAATATCAGATGGAGAGATATGACTGGAAGTATGCCAATCCCACGTACTAGAAGAAGGTTTTCTATACGCGAAGGACAAAAGGCTATCCGAGGACCTGATCGCAGGTCTAAAATAATATCGGCTCCAACTAATTTTAACCATATTAGTCATATGGGCCCTGGAGATGGTATACAAATTCAAAGATTACTTGATTTACCTACAACAGTTGAGACTGCTGATTCAATGCCACCAACTAAAGTAAGAATTTTTTATTTTAATAAAAAGTAAATTAATTTTATAATTTTATCAATATATATTTTCCAGCCTCTTCCACCATTTACTTCTACTACTAGTAAACATTCATTTCAAATTTCAAGAAGTCCATCACAACAACATTCGACTTTAAGTGGTAAATTTTTTTTTTTTATTACCAACAAAAAAAATAAATACAATTAAGTACCTAATAAACAGAATAATATTATGATATATTAAAATTATAATAATAAATCAATAGGTATACATGTTGAATTTTCATTAAAATTTTTTAAAATATTATGAATAATCATAAACAATTTTGAAAAGTTATATAAATTATTATTATTTTTTGATTTAATAAAGAATTTCCATTTAAAAACATAAATTTTAGAACAAGTTTATTTTAAAATTAAAATAGTATGATGAATTAATTTAAACAATATTTTAATAAAATAAATTCCTAAATTGTGTTAATTTTTTTTTTTATATATATAAAAATAAAGTTATATATATTATACATTGAAATATAATGTAATTAAACAACCTTTGTTTTAAATATTTATTTAAAATAAAACTGGGCTGAATATTGTATTTACCATTATCCATAAGTATTAAGTGGATATTTTAAACCAAATAATGGTTATTATAACAATTTAAACATTGTCATTTAGACAAATTCAAAATGGCGAGAGCAAAATATGGGATTGACATGACTCGTCAATCACCTGAAGAAAGTAAAAATTTAATATTACGGTCAGATATTAATAAAACTATTTACCATCCAATTGTTGGTAAGCTTGGCATGATTTACTATGTATATTGACTGTAAAAAAATTATATGTAGCATTGTTAATTTTAGACTTTTTACTAACCAACACTTAATCCATTTTTAAATTTACATTTTATTTTTTCAGTTGCTTAAATTTTAGGGTAATATATAAAATTAAAGTAAAAATTAATGAAATAGATATTTTTTCAAGTAATATTTTATGGTTAATTACTATTAAAGATAAAATTATTTTAAAAATCTGATTATAACCGTATAAATAATGATTAAATATTATACGATTGTCTATAATTATAATTTTATGTATTATATTAATTTCGTTTGGTTATTCAATTATTCAACTATTTGTGTTTAGTATAGTATTTGTAATAATATAAAATTGGTAACTTCATATGTATATTCAATAAGTAATCAAATATTTTAATAATTCATAATTCATTGAACAGATAAATTGATGGTAAAATTAAATGCATGTGTAAAACAGTCCAAAGCTCACAAAAATATCTTATAACAATAATATGTTATTTTTTTTAGGATCTACCTCAAAAAGATCATATATAAAAAAGAAAACAATACTTCAACCTAGAACACCAGAATCGTTTGGCTCTAATTATCCTCATCATCATTCAGATACAGATCTGCCACCAAATATGTCTCATTCGTTAAATCGCAGTATATCATCCTTAAATGAATACAAAGTTAGTAACCTTATGAAAATAATATACTTGTTACTATTCCTCGATTTTTATTAAAATTGTTTTTAGGATCATCAGATTGGAAGTTCAAGACATTCCGTAGCATCAAACAACAGTAGTAATACAAGCACTCCACCAAGTCCAAATCGTGAGCATGGATCATCTAGTTATGATAGTTAAATATTTAAATAATTTTTTTTTTCGTATCAATTGGTTAAGATTATTATTATGGTTAAATGTGTTATACATGACTAACACACTAAACATTGTTTAATATTACTTTTAATAGATATTGGAAACTATTAATAATTTAGTATAAACATTTTTATTTTATTAACTTTTCCTAAATTATTTAGTGACATTTTAAAATCTCTCATTTTTTTTCTTTCGTTTTTTAGTTCAAATTTCACAACTATGTGATTTTAATGAATTTTGTACAAACTCTAAATTAAAGGTGTTACTAATACCTTAGTAATACCAATTTTTTATTTTCATATTATTTATTGAAAACTATTTTATAAAAAATTCATGCATTTATATACGTAAATGATGTATTTATTTGTTATTACATGACAATTTTAAACAAACGTGTCTTTTACCAATAATAAAAATAATTGTTTTATTTGTATTATTTTACGAATTAGGTAATATTAAATAATTTTAGGTACAAATGAGAATGTATAAATACTTTTTCAATTTGAATTTTTAAATTTTCTCATAATAAATTAAATGGCATTTTACTATTAATATATTATTGATAACTATTAAACGTTTCTGGTCATAAAATTATATTTCATATTTTTGCATTTATTTTTTATGTTTTTTGATGCTGATATTAAATCTAGTCTTGTTCTCCTTAGCTTATTTGTAGTTGCATATTTTTTTAAAGCAAAAATTATTTTCATATACATGTACTCATTCTCAAATTTTCAGAGCATCAGTCTTTTTGATTATTCATGTATACTATTCTTTTGATATCAGTACTTGTTAATGTATAAGCAGTAAGATATCTGAAATTAAAATCTTTTAATGATTATATTTATTGACAGCAACATAAACATCATAGTAATTTTAGTAATTTTATTCTGAACAATAATTATTTGTTTATCTCATTTAGATTAAAAACTGTTATAAGCAATATAAAATATGTATTATCTAATAATATTTAATTTTTAAAAAACTTGTATATTTCCGAGAACTAATAAAATTTTTTAAATTTCAATGAATTTTCATTTGATTTAGTTAAAAAAGTTACTGTTAGACAATTTTCAAATATTTTTATATAATTTAAATAACTATAATGATGAATTTATCAATATTATATAGTACTGCCATAGCAGTTATGTCTATTAATGTGTCGTTTACACCTGAATATATACATATTTATATTATATATGTAAAAAGACTATTCAATATGTTTAATTATGTATATTGAATAGTCTTTTATGTTTTAAATTCATTCTTATGATATGTAGTATGCTTATTTTTATTTACATGTGATTGTAATCAGATGAGTTATTACATATTTAAATGACTAGTGTTCAAAGGATTATTTGTTTAAAATGTTTATGAATTAATAGGGATCAAAATATTTTTTGAATATACTGTTGTAATGAGTATTTCTAAAGAAATACCATATACATATGGTATATGGTTGTTATTTACATTAAATTTAATTTTGATATAGCTTGCAGCTTATACAATACTGTATGTTACTCCTAAACATTATTTTGAATTATATTTTTTTATTATCAATTACTAACATTTGTGTTTAAATTCTCTAATATTCGTAACATTGGTGTGCGAAGTAATGCATTTATATTTAATTGTAAAATATTTTAATTTCACGTGAAAATAATATCAAATGAATTAATTAATTAATTTTTATATAATTTATTTTCTATTATTATCAATATATTGCAATTAGATCTTAAAATTATTTTGTTCAATATTACTTAGCAATAAATCATGATAATACTTCAATATATTAATTAGCTATATACTTTAACTATCATTTTCATGTTTAGTTTATTAATTGCATTAATTAAATGAAACTTCTTTTAAATGGATTTATTGGAACCAACAAAGGTGTTCCGTTTTGTCATGTTTTAGTTCAAAAGAAATTTTAATTCTATAAATTTAATGGTTTTTAGCGATTTCCAATCTAAAAATGTTAGTATATTTATTTTTTTTTTACCAGGCTCTGTTTTAAATGAGTTTTATTGTCTGTTGATAAATTTTATCTATTTGATTATAATATTTCTACCATTTATTTTTTTTGCCCTTTACATTTTACAAGAATAATTTAATTATGAAATTTCATAAGTGCCTATTCTTTATTTTGTATTACTAATGACCCTCTTGAACACATGTCATTGCAATAATTGCCATTTATTGTGAATATTTTCACATTTTGCTCAGTACTATTTATTATATTAACTATGTGTAAAATTCAGTAAACGAACAAACGAATTGATTTTTTTTTGTACAAATAATAAATATGTTATTTATAAAAGAATTCCGATTGGTCAGATATTAGTGTCTTCCAAATAATATTTTAAGTAGTAATTTTTTTTATGTGTATTCAATGATAACCACTAAAGTTAATGAATTTTTTTATATTCTGATTATAGTAAGTATACTATTTTTAAGTATATTTATTTGGTTAAATATGTATAATATAGCATAATATAGATCAATATTAATTTATAATTGTTTATTTATTAAAAGAATCTAACTAGATTTTAAATGTACAATATTTTATGACAAAAAATAAAAATATTGTAACAAAATACTTTACACTTATTACTATTTATTAGAATTTAGAAAGACACTTTTAACTGACCATGTTTATGTTTTGTGTATTAGATGCAGTGCCAGCTCCATACTATGTATCATGAATATCACTTTATCTTTAAAAAATCTTATAGTTATAATGTAGACGGAAAAGAGTTATTCATTATTATTATCAGCGACTGTATCGAAGACCTTAAATTTAATAAAATTATATAAAAAAAAAGCAAATTAAATAAATACCTATATATATGGGGCCCCTCAAAATTCTGCACCTGTCCCTAAATCTATTGGATCGGCACTGACTAGGTGATTGCGTTCTTAAGAACAACTTAATATTTAGAAGATTGTATTTTTGAAATTGAATGATTTTATTTTACATATTTAATAGTTATTATTCTAAAAGTTCACGTTTATTAATTGTAACGTATTAGGTTAACAAGTGCAATTAGTAAGACATTAATAAGACTCAACTTTCCAATATAAATAATAATAAATAATTTCTTACATTTTTATTCTGATTATTTTACTATGATATGATTCCATTTCTTTTAACACTTTGTTAAATATATTTTTGACATATAGTGACAAAAGAATTTACTATTCTATTTAATTATTTAAAAACCAAATAGGGCTTATAATTTATGGATCTATGCTATAAAATGACCTCTATAATATTTAAAATAATATTAATATATACAAGTACATTTATCAGTGTATTTACTATATTATTTTATTTCAATAATTATAACATCTGTACATACTATACAGTTTCAGTTATATGATCTTCATAAATAATGCATATTTATACATTTTGTTGCATTCTTAAAAATGTGCTCTTCATACTCAAATTAAGTTTCTAGATATTTTTTTATTTTGAGAAACGTGGACAAATCTCTGTTGAATTAGATGTATTATTTGTAGACATTAAAATGTAGGAATAATATTAGAAAAAGTATTTATAAATAAATAAATGTTGATGAATTGATTTTATATCAAAATTAAAGTGTTTATTATATGAAAGCCTGTAATTTTGATAGTTTTTTTGTGTGTATTTGTGTGCATATACCTACCTTAAATTATTGACAATATTAATATCTATCTATAATCAGAATTATTCTAATTAATCACTAACTCATTGACAATAAATATTTCATTTTGATTAATATTGTATATGTTATTTATATATAATAAGATGAATTGATATTCGTTTAAATATTTTTAATTTCTACATTTTCACAATTCTAGTCTTTAAAAAAAATGTAATGAATTGTACAAAGTAGTATTACCTAAAATTTTGTCGTGGTTCAGGTTTATGATTTTATCGAAGATTTTTAATAAATTATAAAATAATTTATGAAATAATTAGTATATTTATTGAGATTAGGCTCGTTTTATAATTTAGCTATTAGACTTATTGTTAGTTAATTGTTTTTATTGATAAAAAAATCGGATATTTATTATATTTGTATGTACAAAATATACTATGAATACTATGAACTAAAATATTTGAATTGTTTTATTTGTGTTGAAAGAAGTTATAGTTTTATTTTTTACATATTGAGACATTTATGTAATTTATAAAAAATTTTATTATAAAAAAATGCCCAGTACTCTACTAAATATCGGTTTTCAATAAGCTCACTATACAGGGCGATTCACCAACCGCAAAACACTCATTATCTCAAAACCATTCACTATTTTCAGATTTTTTTTAACATAGATTTATGCTGTTTTTGAATTATATATTTGTTTAATATTTTTCGCCCTTATATTTATTAGGTAAACCACCATCAACTTTTATTTTTCAAATGACAACCCATACTAAAAATTTTATAATTTAGTAAGGTTTTTTTTTCTTATGAATTATTACGTTAAAATTGTGTGGTTTTGAGAGGTATTTGTATTTAAATGTGTTATATTTAGTCAGTAACTTAGGCCGCAGTAATATTTATCGCTTATAAAAACCAGAAGTTATAAGTAATAAACTTGATACCGTTTGACACCAAGATATAATGGCCATAAATGATCAGTGTATCTACTTCCAACAATGACTTTTAATGCTATACATATTATATGTTATTATTTTATTGGACTGTCACGTCTTGTTGCATGTTAATCCCCACTAGATGCCTTTATCATATTCACTGATAAATATTTAAGTTAATTTTGAAATTTTCTGTATATTTGGAATATAGGCGCTGGATACTCTGTATGATGTTGTAACTGTAACGTAATTTTAAATCCATATTAAATATGTTCTATGATGATGCCGAGCTTTCGTTGTCAACATCATGCCAAGTTTTTATGGAAACAAATTGATTAGCTGTTTGACTGTCGCTTCTATTATGTTGGTTGTGATGATAACAACCTTGTGAAGAAATCAGTGGTTACTAAGTAGGGTGGGTCTAAGTAACGGTATATTACCGTTAGACCCTACTACGGATTTCATAATTTTTTTTTTTAAATTTTCTGATGGTCAGCGTGATACCTGATTGATAATAATTAATAATATTATGGATTATGTACAT